TAGAGCGCTGGTTGGATAATTGATGACTCGGCACTCAGTCGCTCACTCACCGTAGGCGAGTCGCATCCTCATCACTCGTCCATCGCTCCTGCCATGGTTACCGTTCCCGTGAATGTCACTCGTTGATTCCTACAACCAAATGTACAGTATGGGCAAAGCTGGTTCCCATGTTTCCATCCGCCAACCACGTTGATGACTGTGTCTGCGCTCACACTGTGTCGTCTTATCCACCACCCACCCACTGCAGCTCACAACAACACACTCACCCACTCACCCACCCACCCAACCACTCACACGTACAACGATCCCTCGTGTAGCCTTAATAGACTGTTGGGGCAAGTGCTGTTAGTGGCCAGCACCACGCCTGGCCACTCCCTCATCAGATTCCCCACACACTCACCACCTCGCTCGCTCGCCACGAAGTGCGAGGTGCACGTAGAGGCCACGTAGAGTATGAGAGGTTCTCTGCTGCCAGAAGGAGGTCACGGGACAGGCCCAGCAGGTGCCATGGGTTCACTAACGGAAATGACTGGCAGACGCACCACCTGTGCTACACACAGTGCTAGCTCACACAAAGACAATGGTTCACCGTATAGCCTTCACAGACTATTGGGGCAAGTGATGGAGTCGACAGCACAAATGAAGACCAACACGGGTGGTGTGACGAGCGTCCATAGGTCGACTCAGTCTCAAACAAGTGCCTGGTGCGATGCGCACAGGCGCTCGCTAACATCACTTGCCCAACAATTGTGTTAAGGCTGTGCTGGCGATCTTAGTTTTTATACACTCCTGTGTTTATAAGTTTGCGTGTTCAAATACCTGTGTATGTGTATAATAGTGAATGTGCCCATGCACCCGTGTGTATATGAGTGTGAGTGTGTTGATGTGGTTTTGTCGGCAGTGCGTTTATGACCGGTTCCTGTTTAGCAGAAGAGGCCTCATTCCGAATCAGTCATGCGGCATTATCTTTTTTTTATCAGATTGGTAACGTTGCTGCGTGGAAGCTACCCTGGCCTGTCGCTCTGCACGAAGCGCACGGACTTCTCGGCCACAGTTATGCACTCTCATCTCTATGCTTGCGACTCGTGGACCCCTCTGAAGGAACATCTGCGACGGTTATAAACATTTAGGTTGGCCTGCCAACGATTCATCCCGGGTTTAACCAGGCTGGATTGTGTGAGGAGCTCACAAATCCTTGAAAGATCTGGAGCTCCTCCAGGCAGGCAAGGTTGCGTTGGCTGGGTCATGTATCCCACATGCCCAGCCACCGCATGCCCAAGCAGCTTCTGTTTGGCCGCATAAAGGGGGCTAAACGGGCACGACACGGGCTAGAGAAGAGATGGAGTGATGCTGTACGGGAGGATGTGGAGCTGAGTGGACTTGCCGATGACTGGTACCAGCGGTGTCAAGATCGGCATCTGTGGAGGAGGCTCGTGAAGGACGCTACTGGGCAGTTGGAGGCAGTCACCCTCCAACAACAACGGAGGGCAGAGGAGTGACGCTCACAACAACGCTGGGCGCCTTAAGCGCTGCAAGTTGGCACAGTTGGGAGCGCTGTTGGTGTATTTGCCAGCCATCTCATTCAAACAACAAATAGCACTCGGGTCTGCCCCGTGACCTCCTGCCAGCGAGCCTCAAAGTGCACCTAGCATGGCACAGGCGCCGTGGTGACGTCACTGCAACTTAGTGGCGAACTGCGGCTGTTGTTGTTGTGTGTTTGTGAGTGTTCATGTACCCGTGTACGTACGTCAGCGTTCGTGCGCCTGTGCGTCTGAGCGAGTGTTCACGCGAGCGCTCGCCCTGTATCACCGCGGCCGGCCCATTCACACCGCGCCCTCGAGTGTCGCGAACATCGCGATTAGCGGGTGAGTGGACACCTCTCCCCCCAGCCCCTCCCCCCACGCAGCCCAATTCCTCCCACACTCCTATATCAACCCATTGCTCCCATTATCCCGCCCCCCTACCCCCCATCCCCCCCACCCCCTCTGCCCCCACTTGTCGCTTCACTGCGCATTGACGCGGGGACGGCGCGCGTATTGATGGAGAAGCGCATTCCCCACTCGGCTTTTCTTTCCCGAGCCCCTCCCCCCACCCACCCACCTCCCCCCGCCCCGCACCCTACCCCGGCACCGCCCCCGTCCCCCAGCGCACGTCCCGCCGCTGTTTGGGAAGCGTTTAGAGGAGTCAAGAGAAGTCAAGTGGCAGAGAGTTGAGGACTGGAGGAGCGAGACGCCGACACAGAGAGACGGGAGGACGCGTGCGCGGGAGAGAGGGGAGAGAGCGAGGAGAGATGGAGAGAGAGTGGGGGGGGGGGTGTGGGAGAGATGGCGACGGGGGGGGGGTAGAGCGGGGGGTGACAGAGAGGTACAAAGAGAGAGCGGAGGGACATAAAGAGGAGACAGAGGGAGAAAGGGACGGGGGGGGGGGTGCACGTGGAGAGAATAGATGGGGGGGGGGGGGGGGAGACGGGGATAGGGGCTAGGGAATAAAGAGAGAGAAAGGAAGGAAGACACGGGGAGAGTGGAGGGTTCGTAGAGAGAGGAAATCGTTTTGGAAAGCGAAGGGAGAGTGGGAAGGGAGAGTTTGATACAGGAGAGTGTGAGAAAGAGGAGATGCAGAGATAGGAGTGCTGAGTAAAGCAGAGAGAGAAACACGTGGGAGAGGGGAAGATGAGACACAGAGGAAGGGAGGAACCAGGAGAGATGATGGGAGGGTGAGAGAGTAGAGATGATGGGAGAGAGAGAGAGGAGAGATGACGGACACGGGATAATATGAGTGGGGTATAGGAGAGAGTTAAAGAGAGAGACAAGTAAGAGTACAGGGGAGGGAGGTAATGGGAGAGTGGAGGAGAGCGAGAGAGAGACAGAGTACATGGTAGAGAGTGGAGTAGGGTACATGGTAGAGAGTGGAGGAGGGAGGGAGGTAACGGAGTTTCTGTACTGCCACCGACTCGACCCGGTGTCGCTGCTCCGGGTCCCGTGCCCGAGGGGGTGGGGGGGGGGCAAGGAGGCGAGGGGAGGGGGTGGGGGGCAAGGAGGCCAGGTGACGGGGTGGGGGTGAGGAAGGCGGCGAGGGGAGGGGTGGCCCCGCGTCCCCGGGGGACTCTTTCTCTGCGCGCTGGGCTGTGCGCTAATGTCCTAATGAGGCAAATCACACGCGCAGCGCGCACAGCGGTGTGACGCGGGCACACACACAGACAGACACACACACAGACACACACACGCAGATGTACACACACACACACAGACACACAGTCACACAGGTATATACAGATACAAAGAGAGAAACACAGACACACACACAGACACACACACACAGACACACACAGACACACAGACACAGACACACACACACAGACACACACACAGATATATAGACACACAGGTATATACAGATACAAAGAGAGAAACACACACATACAGACACACACACAGACACACACACGCACAGACACACAGACACACACACACAGACACACACAGACACACAGACACACACACAGACACACAGACACACACACAGACAAAGATCTCCCCGTATAGCCGCGACAGACTGTTGGGGCAATGCGCAACTATGAAGGCCGGCACGTCACACGAGGGGGGGGGGGGGGGTGGCAAGCACCACGCCCGACTGTCTTTGTCTCCCCAGCGGCGATGTTTACACACCGCACCAGGTACTCATTTGAGGCTGAGTCGACCTCGGGGAGGTCCAGGACCGTTTCAGATAATCGTCACTGGTGTTGGCCGTGAGCGGGTTCGTAGCGCAGCGCGCTAACCGCTACACCACCACCCCCCCCCCCCCACACACACAGACACACAGACACACGAGTGTGTATCTGTGTGTGTGTGCGACGGTGTGTGTGTCTGTCTGTGTTTCTATGTGTCTGTGTGTGTGTCTGTATGTGTGTCTGTATGTGTCTCTGTGTGTGTCTCTGTGTGTATGTCTGTGTGTGACCTCCTGCCAGCGGGCGTTCGACACTTCACGTGGCCTCAATGTGCACATGGCCTGGCACAAGCGCCGTGGTGACGTCACCGCCACTTAGTGGCGAATGGCGGTTGTTGTTGTGTGTCTGTGTGTGTGTCTGTGTGTGTGTCTGTGTGTGTGTCTCTGTGTGTGTGTGTCTGTGTGTGTGTCTGTGTGTGTGTCTGTGTGTGTGTGTCTGTGTGTGTGTCTGTGTGTGTGTCTGTGTGTGATGAATAATTGACGCCGCGCCCTACATTCGCGTCCCAGTTAAGTGTATTCTCCTACTCCTCGTGCTACTGACACAACAGCAAGCACAGCGACAACACAACGCGTGGTGACACAACACGGGTTTACATAGCCCCAGCACGCGGTGACACCACACGTGGTACAGACACAACAGCAACACACAGCGCCGGGTGACACAACGCGGACCGCTTCAGACAATCGCCACTGGTGTCGTTATCGGTCGTGAGCGGGAATCGAACTCGCGTCTCCGGGCTCGTAGCGCGGTGCGCTCAGCGCGACGCTGCCCACACTCACTTAGCGTGGGCTTTCGGGACGTCGCTGCGTGGTCATGTACACGTGTTCATGCACGCGTGTTCGTACACATGTGTTCTAGCACACGTGTTCGTACACCCGTGTTCGTGCACACGTGTACATGTACGTGCACACGTGTACATGCACGTGCACACGTGTACATGCACACGTGTACATGCACACTTGTTCTCAGCATCCCCGACGTCGACTCGACAACTTTCAGCTGGTGTGTAAGCATCAGCATTGGGGAGACAAAGGCGGCCGGGCGTGGTGTTGGCCACCACCTATTGCGCTGTGTCGGCCTTCATAGGTGCGCGCTAACCGCACTTGCCCCAACAGTATGTCAAGGCTTTGTATGTATTTGTGAATGTGAAAGTGTGTAAGTGTGTAAAATGTGTGTGTTCATGTGTATGTGTGTATGAATATCCCGCAGGTGAACACAGATATATGTGTAGGTGTATGTCAATGTTTGTGCACGTGTGTGTGTGTCCGGCAGGTAGGTAGGGCCCAGGGGGACACAGGTGGACACAGGTGGACACAGGTGGACACAGGTGGACACCGGCTCGCGGGAGAGGCATGCGCGGCGTCACGTCTCGTGCAGGTGAGCGGTCACGTGGTCCCGGCACCCAGTGTCGAACCCAAGTCTGGCATCTCACGGGACACACGTGCTGCTAGCGGGGAGGGGGGGGGCATGCCCCAATGGGACGAAGGGGGCAGGGAGTGAGAGGCGAGGGGGGCCTCAGAGGAGGTTTATCCCTTTCTCATCATCGCCAACATCTTCGTAACCATCGCCACTCGCGTCAGCCGCGGCCGGGAGTCGTTGGGAGTTCGCGAAGATCGGCAGCGAAATTGAGAAAAATCACTGCTACCCCCCCCTCCCCCTGCCACTCGGGGGGGGGGGGGGGGGATGCGTGAAGGAGGTGTTTACACGTTTACTCAAACGCCGCCCGTTACCCCCAAGCATCACCCCCCCCCCTCCACACGGGCCCCGCCCCTGCGCCCCCGACTCCTCTTCTTCACGCGTGAATAGATTCTTTTTTAAATCGGCGGAGAAGGCGCCGCAATTAGGGGGCGAGTTCGCTGCAGGCGACTTCCATCACCGGCCTCCTCCTCCTGCTCCTCCTGCTCCTCCTGCCCCGCGTGCCCCGCGTGCCCGCGGTCTTCTCGCGCCGCGCACCCCCCGTGGCCGCGGCGCGCACATTCGGGGTGGTGGTGGGGGGGGGTAGCGAAACGTCGATCTCGCCCAGGTGGCGCTGTCCGCAGTGGTTTAAGGTGACGTGAAGACGCCGAGCAGCTGAGGGCCACGGCGACGAGGAGGAGGGGGAAGAGGAGGAGGATGATGAGGATGAGGAGGAGGAGGAGGGGGAGGAGGAGGAGGAGAAGGATGAGGAGGATGAGGAGGAGGGGGAGGATGATGATGAGGAGGGGGAGGAGGAGGATGAGGAGGATGATGATGAGGAGGAGGATGATGATGAGGAGGAGGATGAGGAGGAGGATGCCGTCTCCCGCGCCCCCTTCTAGGATCGCGCTGCTGTCACCGTCGCTAGAAGCTCGCCACTCAGATCCGGTGGAACGCCGCTGCTGCTGATGCTGCTGCTGATGATGATGATAATGAAGCTGCTGCTGATGCCGCTGATGCTGATGCTGCTGATGATGATAATGAAGCTGCTGCTAATGCCGCTGATGCTGCTGCTGATGATGATAATGAAGCTGCTGCTGATGCCGCTGATGCCGCTGCTGCTGATGATAATGATGATAATGAAGCTGCTGCTGATGCTGATGATGCTGCTGCTGATTATGCTGCTGATGCTGTTGTTGATTCTGCTGATGCTGCTGGTTATGCTGCTGCTGCTGATGATGCTGCTGCTGATCCTGCTGCTGCCTGCGAACAGAGCTGAAGAGCGCGGACGTCCGGAATGACCGCCGCACTAGTGACCCAAACATCGCAGCTCCTGGCTTTGATATTGACCCTCCTCCTCCTCCACCTCCCCCTCCTCCCAGACACTGGTAGAACCATCAACCGCATCATTGGAACGTGGAGTAGGGAAGGCGTGAGGGGGGCAGGGAACGAGGTGGGTGGGGAGGGAGGGTGAGCCGTGGTGCTGAGTCTCCTGTCACGTGTCTGTGCCCAGGTGAGCCGTGAGGAGAGCACGTGACCCCGACCTCACCGCGCCGGCTCCTGCGCGCGCCATGAACAACAGTGAGAGCACGTTGACTCACACGTGTATTCACACTCACACTTACACTCACACGTGGACTCACACGTGTACCTTTACTCACACGTGGACTCACACGTGTACTACTTACACTCACACGTGGACTCACACGTGTACTACTTACACTCACACGTGTACTCACACGAACACGTGTATTACTCACACTCACACGTGTACTACTCACACTCACACGTGTATTCACACTCACACGTGTACTCACACTTACACTTACACGTGGACTCACACGTGTACTTACACTCACTCGTTTACTTACACTCACACGTGGACTCACACGTGTACTCACACTCACACGTGGACTCACACGTGTACCTTTACTCACACGTGTATTCACACTCACTCGTGTATTCAAACTCACACGTGTACTCACACTCACTCGTGGACTCACACGTGTACTCACACTTACACTCACACGTGGACTCACACGTGTACTCACACGTGTACCTTTACTCACACGTGGACTCACACGTGTACTCACACGAACACGTGTATTATTCACACTCACACGTGTACTACTCACACTCACACGTGTATTCACACTCACACGTGTACTCACACTTACACTCACACGTGGACTCACACGTGTACTTACACTCACTCGTTTACTTACACTCACACGTGTACTCACACGTGTACTCACACTCACAGGTGTATTCACAGTGTGGCGGTGACCACCACGACATTTGTGCCAGGCTAGGCGCACTTTGAGGCCGTCACGTGAAGTGTGGAAACGTCCCTTGCATGAGGTCACGGGGCAGATCTGACTGCCAGGGGTTGACTGACATGACTGGCATAGGCGCCACTGTGATCCCTCCTGTGCCATCTTCATGTATTTTATCCGCCCGGCGCCTCGCGCGTTGTTGCGAGAGGGCGACTGCCTCTAACTGTCCCAGCAGCGTCCTCCAATCCCCGTGTAGACTTCAACAGACTGTTGGGGCAAGTGCTGTGAGCGAGCAGCACCGCAAGTCGGCACGACACGCGCGAACCACGCGCACACACACGCACACTGCATTGTGTTATACGAGAGCGCACGCGGGGTGCGGGGGGGGACGGAGAGACGGGGAGAGCGAACGAGAGAGCGAGAGGGCGAGAGAGAGAGAGAGGGCGAGAGAGAGAGGGCGAGAGAGAGAGGGCGAGAGAGAGAGAGAGGCGCTAATGGGAGATGAGAATGGACCTGGCGGCTCTGCCTCTGCCGGCGCTCGCCACGGGGCTTCCGAGCCGCTGGATCTGACGCGCCCAGACGCGGGTCTCCATTTGCAAAAATTAGCCTCAAGTCGGCACTGGGCGCGTGACATCGCGTCACGAGACCTGATCATTTGCGTCCTTTAGCCGTGACTACTCCTCCCTCCTCCTCCCTCCTCCTCCTCCTGCTGCTGCTACTACAAACCTCCTCCTCCTCCTTGTGCCGATATAAAAGTCGCGCGCGCGCACGAGCGCAGCAGAGGGAGCGAGCGAGAGGTGCAGAGATGATGATGGAGGTGGTGGTGATGATGCGGGCGAGGTAGAGGTGAGACGGGGGCTGAGGTGGGAGATGGAGTGAGGCCACTGCGGGAGAGGAACCCGGAGAGAGGTGATGTGGGCGAGGTGTGCGAAGGGAGAGAGAGTGAGGAGGAAGTAAGATAGATGAGGAAGAGGTGGGTGAGGGGGATGAGGAGAGAGAGAGAGAGAGAGGTGAGGAGAGGCGGTGTGGTGAGAGTGGTAATTATGGTAGAGAAATGTGAAAAAGGTGAGGGAGGGAGAGAGAGGGGTGAGCGTGAGGTGGAGGAGCGAGGCAGAAAGCGGGAGATGGCAGTGGTTAAGAGGAAGGGAGAGCGAGAGAGGGGGAGAGAGAGGGGAGAGAGAGGGGGAGAGAGAGGGGGAGAGAGAGGGGGGACGCGTTCAGTGAGACTCGAGTTTGACCGCCTCGTGACCTCGACCCTGGACCCAGAGTCATCGTCATCTCACCAGTACTATTATCATCTCACCAACACCATCATCTCACCAGTACTATTATCATCTCACCAACACCATCATCTCACCAACATCATCTTCATCTCACCAACACCATCATCTCACCAACACCATCACCATCATCTCGCCAACATCGTCATCATTTAACCATCGCCATCATCATATGCTCACCACTGCCATCATCATCATCTTATTAACGTCATCAGTCTCGCCTTATCCATATCAGTATTATCTTGATACGGATCATCTCATCATCAGCATCATCTCGATACCCATCATCAGCATCATCTCGATACCCATCATCAGCATCATCTCGATACCCATCATCAGCATCATCTCGATACCCATCATCAGCATCATCTCGATACCCATCATCAGCATCATCAGTCTCAATCAGCTGTCACCAGCGGCATCGTTCAGCCGCCTCGCGCCGTGACGAGGCGGCGAGGGGCCGCGGCGAGAGGGGTGCAGACCCCTCCCCCGCTGCCCCCACACACCCCCCCCCCTTACTTCCCCTCTCTTAAGCCCCACATACCCCCCCCCCCCGTGACGAGCGGAGTCCCTTCGTTAATTAGCGGAAGTAATTAACGCGCGTCACTACATCGTTATCATCGTCTGGACGCGCGGTGGGGGCGGGGAGAGCGAGGCGGGGCGGGGGGCATTGACGCTAACACCCTAACCCCGACTCTCACCCTCACCCCGACCCTCACCCTCACCCCGACTCTCACCCCGACTCTCACCCTCACCCCGACTCTCACCCCGACTCTCACCCTAACTCCGACCCTCACCCTCACCCCGACTCTCACCCTAACCCCGACTCTCACCCTCACCCCGACTCTCACCCTAACCCCGACTCTCACCCTCACCCCGACCCTCACCCCGACTCTCACCCTCACCCCGACTCTCACCCTAACCCCGACTCTCACCCTCACCCCGACTCTCACCCTAACCCCGACTCTCACCCTCACCCCGACCCTCACCCCGACTCTCACCCTAACCCCGACTCTCACCCTAACACCGACCCTCACACTCACCCCGACTCTCACCCTAACCCCGACTTTCACTCTAACCCCGACCCTCACCCTCACCCCGACTCTCACCCCGACTCTCACCCTAACCCCGACTCTCACCCTCACCCCGACTCTCACCCCGACCCTCACCCTAACCCCGACTCTCACCCTCACCCCGACTCTCACCCTCACCCCGACTCTCACCCTCACCCCGACACTCACCCCGACTCTCACCCTAACTCCGACCCTCACCCTCACCCCGACTCTCACCCTAACCCCGACTCTCACCCTAACCCCGACCCTCACCCTCACCCCGACTCTCACCCCGACTCTCACCCTAACCCCGACCCTCACCCTAACCCCGACTCTCACCCAACACCAATCATAAACCCAACCCGAATATGAACTTGGAGCGGCCCTGAGCCCGAATGGTAACGATGATGATGATTTATATCTTACCTCCTTTCCTCCCTTACATCATCATCGCTTTCATTCGCTTTCAACATCTCACCATCCGCAACCTCCACCCCACCATCGCCACCGCGATCACCGATTCTGCGATCTCATCATCCCACACCTCTCTACCCCCATCACCACCACCGCCCCCCCCCCCGGGCCTGACAGGCCACAGCGGCGTGAACCAGCTGGGAGGAGTGTTCGTCAACGGGCGGCCGCTCCCCGACTCCATCCGCCAGAAGATCGTCGAGTTAGCGCACAGCGGCGCGCGGCCCTGCGACATCTCCCGCATCCTGCAGGTGCGCCGCGACATCGCCACAACCATCACTATCATCATCAGCAGCAGCAGCACCATCATCAGCAGCAGCACCATCATCATCGGAACCATCATCATCGGCACCATGATTATAAACATCATCATGAGCATCAGCACCATCATCATCATCATCACCACAATCACCATGATCATAAGCATAATCATCACCACCAATATCTCCGATGTAACACCATCCCTATCACCATCATCACCATAACCATCATCATCGGCACCGTGATCATAAGCATCAGCATCAGCACCATCATCACCATCCCGATCACCATCATCACTATCATCACCATCCCGATCACCATCATCAGCATCAGCACCATCATCACCATCACCACCACCACCATCATCATCATCGATGCGACATCATAATTGTTATAATCGCCATCATCGCCGTGAGACCATGCGCTCGCAAGGTTGCAGTCTCGTTCCCCCACCAGTGGCTGTTGTTGGGAGAACCGAATGGAAGCGTCGCATCGTAAAACCTCGCGACTCCTCATCGTCACCGACCCGTTCAGTGGTCGCGGCGCGGCGGTGCAGGGTGTGCCCCACGCGGCTCGCGGCAGTCCAGGGCTGTGGAGGCAGTAGCGAGGGTTGGTGGTTCACCGCACACACGCGCAGCTGTGGCGAGACTCAACTCATTCCCGTGGGCCTCGAGGAGGGTGCCCTTCCCCGGCTCGCCAGGGAAGGGCAGCGCAGCAGCAAACGTGGCCTCAACTGTTCGCTCTGCGTGCTGTTGAGCGTCGCCTCTCCCCACGCGTGGGGTTGCTCCCGTTTCCTTCCACAAGTAAGCGCTCATTGCCTGCTGGGGCAAGTGCTGTGAGCGAGTAGCTCCCATGAAGGCCGGCACGGGACACGAGGGGGGTATGTGTGTTGGACTTCTTTCGCACCGTACATAGCCCAACCCTGCTACTCGGAGGTGCGGAAACCAGCACCACGCCCGGTCGCCTTTGTGCTCAGGCCAGGCCGAGTGGAGCGAGTGGAGGCTCAGGTTGACATGGAACTCGCCACTGATGGTAGCCGTGGTGGAGCCGTGTGCTCGCCACGGCGGCGGTGGCAGCAGCAGCAGCAGCTGCAGCAGCAGCAGCAGCGCCACTGGACTCGTCACCACAGAGGGCACGGGAGTTGAAACAATGGGGGCGCGTTTCTCAAATCGAGCGCGTTCGTTACTCCGGTTCCACTGGAAACGGTTAGCGGTACAGAAAGACGTGAACCGTTAACCGATTCTGCAAAACGGTTACGAGTGATGGTTTAGTGAACGCGACGCGCGTAAATTAAGGAGGAACGCCGCGGGTCTTGGATTGACGGAATCAGTTTATGTATATATGTGTGTGTGTATATGTGTGTGTGTGTATATATGTGTGTGTGTATATGTGTGTGTGTGTATATATGTGTGTGTGTCTATGTGTGTGTATATATGTGTGTGTGTCTATGTGTGTGTGTATATGTGTGTGTGTCTATGTGTGTGTGTGTATATATGTGTGTGTGTATATGTGTGTGTGTCTATGTGTGTGTGTATATGTGTGTGTGTATATGTGTGTGTGTATATGTGTGTGTGTCTATGTGTGTGTGTCTATGTGTGTGTGTGTATGTGTGTGTGTATATGTGTGTGTGTCTATGCTATGTGTGTGTGTCTATGATATGTGTGTGTGTCTATGCTATGTGTGTGTGTATATATGTGTGTGTGTATATGTGTGTGTGTATATGTGTGTGTGTATATGTGTGTGTGTATATGTGTGTGTGTATATGTGTGTGTGTATATGTGTGTGTGTCTATGTGTGTGTGTCTATGTGTGTGTGTCTATGTGTGTGTGTCTATGCTATGTGTGTGTGTATATATGTGTGTGTGTCTATGCTATGTGTGTGTGTATATGTGTGTGTATATATGTGTGTGTGTGTGTACGTGTGTGTGTCTATATGTGTGTGTATATATCGTCGTGTGTAATGTACGTGAATATTATGTATATGTGTAGTATATAATATGCGTGTATGTTTGCGTGTGGATGCATATGTATCTAATTGTGTACTTACCGTATATATGTGTATTTATACGTGTACGTTTGTGTATTTACGTGCGTATGAATGTGTCTGTCGAGGCTGTAGGGGGATCTTTGTCTCTGTGTGCTGTGTATGCGTGTGGATTAGTGGTGGTAAACGATATCCAGTAAACCGGTAACCGTTTTCGAATCGATGAACCGCTCTGAAAGTGAGGAGGAACCCGGTGACCCTCGTGGGGTATATCTTTGTTTTGGTGACGAACGCGCGCGGATTGGCAACAAACGGCACGGCGGCTCGCGGCAGCGCACGTCCAGTGCGATACCCACTCACCTGTCAACTACCTTCACTCACCTGTCAACTACCTTCACTCACCTGTTGTGTCAACTACCTTCACTCACCTGTCAACTACCTTCACTCACCTGTCAACTACCTTCACTCACCTGTCAACTACCTTCACTCACCTGTTGTGGCAACTACCTTAACTCACCTGTCAACTACCTTCACTCACCTGTCAACTACCTTCACTCACCTGTTGTGGCAACTACCTTCACTCACCTGTCAACTACCTTCACTCACCTGTTGTGGCAACTACCTTCACTCACCTGTCAACTACCTTCACTCACCTGTCAACTACCTTCACTCACCTGTTGTGGCAACTACCTTCACTCACCTGTTGTGTCAACTACCTACACTCACCTGTTGTGGCAACTACCTTCACTCACCTGTTGTGGCAACTACCTTCACTCACCTGTTAACTACCTTCACTCACCTGTCAACTACCTTCACTCACCTGTCAACTACCTACACTCACCTGTTGTGGCAACTACCTTCACTCACCTGTTGTGTCAACTACCTACACTCACCTGTTGTGTCAACTACCTTCACTCACCTGTTGTGTCAACTACCTTCACTCACCTGTTAACTACCTTCACTCACCTGTTGTGGCAACTACCTACACTCACCTGTCAACTACCTTCACTCACCTGTTGTGGCAACTACCTTCACTCACCTGTCAACTACCTACACTCACCTGTTGTGGCAACTACCTACACTCACCTGTTGTGTCAACTACCTTCACTCATCTGTTGTGGCAACTACCTTCACTCACCTGTCAACTACCTTCACTCACCTGTTGTGTCAACTACCTACACTCACCTGTTGTGTCAACTACCTACACTCACCTGTCAACTACCTTAACTCACCTGTTGTGTCAACTACCTTCACTCACCTGTTGTGTCAACTACCTTCACTCACCTGTTGTGGCAACTACCTTCACTCACCTGTCAACTACCTTCACTCACCTGTCAACTACCTTCACTCACCTGTTGTGTCAACTACCTTCACTCACCTGTCAACTACCTACACTCACCTGTTGTGGCAACTACCTTCACTCACCTGTTGTGTCAACTACCTTCACTCACCTGTTGTGGCAACTACCTTCACTCACCTGTCAACTACCTTAACTCACCTGTTGTGTCAACTACCTTCACTCACCTGTTGTGTCAACTACCTTCACTCACCTGTTGTGGCAACTACCTTCACTCACCTGTCAACTACCTTCACTCACCTGTCAACTACCTTCACTCACCTGTTGTGGCAACTACCTTCACTCACCTGTCAACTACCTTCACTCACCTGTTGTGGAAACTACCTTCACTCACCTTGTCAACTACCTTCACTCACCTGTTGTGGCAACTACCTTCACTCACCTGTCAACTACCTTCACTCACCTGTCAACTACCTTCACTCACCTGTCAACTACCTTCACTCACCTGTTGTGGCAACTACCTTCACTCACCTGTTGTGTCAACTACCTTCACTCACCTGTTGTGGCAACTACCTTCAACTCCTCAGTTAGAAACATAATGTCACGTTCATGTGCGGCAAAACTGTAACTGTGTGCTTTTATGTTCTGTTTTTCTATTGCGGTTACTGGTAGCGCGTATTCGTAGCGAGTTTGTGTGTTGTATATGATGTGTGCGTGTGTGTATTGTATGTGTAGATACGTGTGTAATGTATGTGTATACGTCTTTGTATATTAGTGTGTATTCCGTATGTACCAACTAAGCCTTTCGGTCGACTCAGCCTTAAATGAGTACTGTCCCTGATGCGGTGTGTAAACATCAGCCACGTGTCAGCCTTCATCGATGCCGCTCGCTCACAGCTCTTGCTCCAACAGTCTGCGCAGGCGACACGGGGGATCTTTGTCTTTGTCTAATACACCGCGGTGAGTGTGCGAGGAACGGTGACAAGAGTGGTCACTTCCCTGCGCTACGAACCCAGTAGTGGGGAGACAAAGGCAGTCGGGCGTCGTTCTGGCCCTTCGTGTGCCACCACCAAACCCTGATCGGTTCTTGCTAATAACACTTCCCCCAACAGCATACGTAGGCTACCAGGGGGGTCTTTGTCTGTGTGTACGTGGAGAGGCACTGACAGTGAGTGGGGCTCAGGCAGAACGCGTCACCGTGGTCGAGACTGATTACGGAGTGGCAGCCACGCGCAGGGACACGCGTCCGAGAGGAGGAAGTCCGCCTGGGAGATGGAGCGGTGATGTCCGCTCGCGCGCAGATGCCGGGTGGATTGTAATTGTTACATCGCGGGATCGTAAGCGGTGGCAACGGGTTAGGGAGGCCTTCATCCAGCAGTGGATTAAACTTGACTCATGGTAATGATGTTAATGATGATGATGTTAATTATGATAATGTTAATGATGATGATGTTAATGATGATGATGCTAATGATGATGATGTTAACGATGCGTCCTGGGATGACTCGGCATGGTTTTTGAGAAGCAAAGTGGTCGAGCGGAATAGTGGAGGTGGTGTTGGTGGACGTGGTGGTGGTGTTGGTGGTAGTGGTGGTGTTGGTGGTGTTGGTGGAGGTGGTGGTGGTGTTGGTGGAGATGGTAGTGGTGGTGTTGGTGGACGTGGTGGTGGTGGTGGTGGTGGTGGAGGTGGTAGTGGTGGTGTTGGTGGAGGTGGTGGTGTTGGTGGACGTGGTGGTGTTGGTGTTGGTGGAGGTGGTGGTGTTGGTGGAGGTGGTAGTGGTGGTAGTGGTGGTGTTGGTGGAGGTGGTAGTGGTGGTGTTGGTGGAGGTGGTAGTGGTGGTGTTGGTGGAGGTGTTGCAGGAGGTTGATGATGACTTGACGACGATGATGATTGAGGAGGTGATGATGATGGAAAAGGTTGACGATGATTGAGGATGTTGATTGATAATGATGATGACAATGACGACAACATAACCACGCCGATGATGAGACGACTGTTGCTGATAAAGTTGCTGCTGATAATGATGATGTAGCTGCTGCTGCTGATCATGATGATTGTGGAGTTGTGCTGCTGATGCTACTGATGATGACAAGTTTGCTGCTGCTTCTAATGATGATGAAGTAGCTGCTGATGATGATGATGAGGTTACTGCTGATGCTACTGATGATGATGTTACTGCTGCTGATGATGAAGTTACTAGTGAAGTTACTGCTGATGCTACTGATGATGATGTTACTGTTGCTGGTAATGAGGTTGCTGCTGCTGGTAATGAGTTTGCTGCTGATGAGGTTGTCGCTACCGCCGCCACTGCTGCTGATGATGTTGTTATTGCTGCTGCTGCTGATGTTGTTATTGCTGCTGCTGATGTTGTTATTGCTGCTGCTGTTGTTGTTATTGCTGCTGCTGATGTTGTTATTGCTGCTGCTGTTGAAGTTATTGCTGCTGCTGATTTTGATATTGCTGCTGCTGCTGTTGAAGTTATTGCTGCTGCTGATGTTGTTATTGCTGCTGATGATGTTGTTATTGCTGCTGCTGATGTTGTTATTGCTGCTGCTGATGTTGTTATTGCTGCTGCTGCTGTTGTTACTGCTGCTGCTGCTGACGAGGTGAGCGAGGGTGCGGGAGGAGGGAGTGAGCGCGCCCGTTGTCGCCCGCTGTTTAACGCAGCAGCGCTCCTCTCGAGTGCAGGTGTCCAACGGCTGCGTGAGCAAGATCCTGGGCCGCTACTACGAGACGGGCTCCATCCGCCCGCGAGCCATCGGCGGCAGCAAGCCGCGCGTGGCCACGCCCGAGGTGGTGGGGAAGATCGCGCAGTACAAGCGGGAGTGCCCCTCCATCTTCGCGTGGGAGATCCGCGACCGCCTCCTCTCCGACGGGGTTTGCACCAGCGACAACATCCCCAGCGTGAGTGGTGGGGAGGGTGGGGGGAGGGTGGGGGGAGGTGTGGGGGGGGGATCAGCGACAACATCCCCAGCGTGAGTAGTGGGGAGGGTGGGGGGAGGTGTGGGGGGGTCAGCGACAACATCCCCAGCGTGAGTGGTGGGGAGGGTGGGGGGAGGTGTGGGGGGAGGTGTGGGGGGGGGGGGATCAGCGACGACTTCAGCAGCATGAGTGGTGGGGAGGGTGGGGGGAGGTGTGGGGGGGTCAGCGACAACATCCCCAGCGTGAGTGGGGGGAGGTGTGGGGGGAGGTGTGGGGGGAGGTGTGGGGGGGGTCAGCGACAACATCCCCAGCTTGAGTGGTGGGGAGGGTGGGGGGGAGGTGGGGGGAGGTGGGGGTAGGTGGGGGGGGGGTCAGCGACAACATCCCCAGCGTGAGTGGTGGGGAGGGTGGGGGGAGGTGTGGGGGGTAGCATGAGTAGGAGTTAGGGGGTTAGGGGATGGAGTGAGTGCGTGCGTGGATCGGTGAGCGTCTGGGCAACTGAGTGGGCGAGTGAGCGTGAGTGAGTGATTGGGGTGAGTGAGCAGGTGAGTAGGTGCGGATGAGCGTGAGGGCGAGCGGACGAGCGAGTGACTGTCCGAGTTGGCGAGCCGATGGCTCCATGAGCAACCGAGCGAAGCATTCCCAGTGGCAGAGGAGTCGCCGCCACAGCGCGCGCGTCTCTCGCCCGCACAGGTCTCCTCCATCAACCGGGTGCTGCGCAACCTGGCGAGCGAGAAGCAGGGAATGGGGGGCACCGACGGCGTCTACGACAAACTGCGGCTGCTCAACGGGGGGCAAGGGGGGGCCGAGTGGGCGGCGCGGTCCGCCTGGTACCCCGGCAGCCCCCTCTCAGCAGGTACGGTGCCCCCCTCCTTCTACACCCCTCCTACTCCCCCCTCCTACTCCCCCCCTCCTACTCCCCCCCCCTCCTACTCACCCCCTCCTACTCACCCCCTCCTACTCACCCCCTCCTACTCACCCCCCTCCTACTCCCCCCCTCCTACTCCGCCCCCCCTCCTACTCACCCCCTCCTACTCACCCCCTCCTACTCACCCCCTCCTACTCACTCCCTCCTACTCCCCCCCTCCTACTCACCCCCTCCTACTCCCCCCCCTCCTACTCCCCCCCTCCTACTCCGCCCCCCCTCCTACTCACCCCCTCCTACTCCCCCCCCTCCTACCCCCCCGTAATTGACTCCCCTTGGACTCAACCTCGACTCTTAACTCCACTGCACCTCGACTCTGTCTCGACTCTGTCTCGACTCCACCTTGCCCCCAACCTCGACTCCATCTGGACGCCGCCTTGACACTGCACCCCCCCGCACCCCCCGCACCCCCGCACCCCCCGCACCCCCCCGCACCCCCCCCCTCGTCACCGTTTGTTGGCCGCGAGCGGAAATCGAATTCGGGTCGCGGGGTTCGAGCGCGGTGCGCTAACCGCCGCGCCACCGCTCACCGCGCGTGCAGACGGATGCGTTCAGTCGCACAAGCTGGGGGGCGGGGCCGGTGGGGGAGGCTCCGCGGGGGGCGGGGCTGGCGGGGTGGGCTCGGCGGGGGGCGGGGCTGGCGGGGGGGGCGAGAACGGAGCTGCGAGTTCCGCGAGCGACGACTCGGAGGAGGCCCAGATGCGGCTGCAGCTGAAGAGGAAGCTGCAGAGGAACCGCACCTCGTTCACCCCGGAGCAGATCGAGGCGCTCGAGAAAGGTGGGGAGTGAAGAGCGTGCGCGCGCGTGTGTGCGCGTGTGTGTGTGCGCGCGCGTGTGTGCGCGTGTCCGTGTGCACGTGTGCTTGCGTGTCTGCGCGTGTCCGTGTCCGTGTGCACGTGTGCGTGTGCGAGACTGCGTGTGTGTGTGCCCGTGTGTGTGTGCGCGCGCGTGTGTGCGCGTGTCCGTGTGCACGTGTGGGTGCGTGTGTGCGCGTGTCCGTGTCCGTGTGCACGTGTGCGTGTGCGAGACTGCGTGTGTGTGTGCGGTAGGGTAGCGGTGAGGATGTAATGAGTGGTTGTGCAAGTGTGTGAGTGGTGTACGTGTGTGTGATTGTGTGGGGAGCGGTAATACAGCGGTTAGCGCGCTGCGCTACGAACCCAAGTTCGATTCTCGCTCCCGGTCAACACGAGTGACGATTATCTGAACTGGTCCTGGGCCTGCCCTAGGTCGACTTAGCCTTCAACTGAGTACCTGGTGAGGTGTGTAGACATCGCCACTAGGGAGACAAAGGCGACCGGTCTTGGTTTTGGCCACCTACCCACCCCCTCGTGAGCCGAGCCGGCCTTCATAGGGACTCGCGAACAGCACTTGCCCCAACAGTCGGACAAGGCTATACAGCGGATCTTTGTCTTTGTGTGCCTGGCCTAAAACGTCAAACGGCCAGCGACAAACATCGCTGTCAAATGATTCATAATTAGTTTCATCGTTTGTTTATTTTGGGTTATACCCTGTAGGTATATTGCCAATTGTTAAACCATAATCGTTCACCACGCGGACAACTCGATTGGAGCAATGCGTGGGAAGAAGCAGAAGATAAGTGAGGGGAACTGCGGTGTGGCGAGTGAATGAGTGTTTGTGTGAGTGAGTGGGTGCGTGGGTGAGTGGTGGGTGAGTGGTTGGTGAGTGAATGAGTGGGTGAATGAGCGGGTCGGTGAGTGAATGGGTGGGTGATTGGGTGGGTGAGTGGGTGACTCCTCAAAACGGGTGGAGGAATCGGTGAGTGACGCTCTCAAGGGAGCAGTCACCATGGCAGCAGTAGCGATAGAAGAGTGACAAGGGGGTAACTGGCGTCCGGTGATTGAGCGAGGCGCCGGAGTGAATCGGTGATTGCTGAGTCACCAATCAACCCCGAGTGCTTCGCGTTGAATTCACACTGTTGCGGTGGTTGCTGTTGTGGTTGCCGTAGTTGTTTCAGTGTCTATGTGGTGGTGGTTGTTGTTGTTGTGTGGGTGCAGAGTTCGAGAGGACTCACTACCCAGACGTGTTCGCGCGGGAGCGACTCGCCTCGAAAATAGACCTCCCTGAGGCGCGCATCCAGGTGAGGTGGGGGGGGAGTAGGTGAGGGAGGGGTGGGGGAGGGGTGGGGGAGGGTGGGGGGGACAGGTCTTCGTCTTCTGCTGTCGTACGGCCGATGTCGATGCAGAACAAGAACGACAATTCCACAGCCGCGTGGCCAAGCCAGGTAACCGCGTGGCGAGTGTCTCGCTGCGATGTCTCCTCGGCCCGGGAGAGTCTCTCGGTGTCCAGCTGGAGGATCCTCGTCCCAGGGCCGAGCTGGCGCGTAGACGGCAGAGGGCAGCCAGGCAGAGCCGAGCGAGGGGCCATGGACAGGCGAGGGTGGGGGCTCGAGAGGGGGAGTGGGGGGTTGTTGTCGGGGTGGCACGTGACCTACACCTGTGTGGAGGCTGCACAGCGGTGCCCCTGTCGCTGTTTGCGCCACAGCCCCAGCGGGTGGGCAGGGACAGTCCTTGGGAATTGAGCTCAAGTGGATGCCGGGAATCCCGTGGCGAGACAGGAGAAGCCGTGCAGGGGTCCGGAAGGGAACGTGGCAGGCGAGTGGTGCGGGGGGGCAAGATGGGGGAGGATGGGGGAGGATGGGGGAGGATTTGGCAGGATGGGGGAGGCAACTTGGAGGTTGGGAAAGCAACGTGGCAAGCGCCTGGTGTAGATGAGATTGTGTCTCACACCACAAAGGAGTGCCTCTCACACCACGTGTCTCACACCACACGTGTGTCTCACACCACACGTGTGTCTCACACCACGTGTGTCTCACACACCACGTGTGTCTCTCACCACACGTGTGTCTCACACCACACGTGTGTCTCACACCACACGTGTGTCTCACACCACACGTGTGTCTCACACCACACGTGTGTCTCACACACCACGTGTGTCTCACACCACACGTGTCTCACACCACACGCGTGTCTCTCACCACACGCGTGTCTCACACCACACGCGTGTCTCACACCACACGCGTGTCTCACACCACACGCGTGTCTCACACACCACGTGTGTCTCACACCACACGTGTGTCTCACACCACACGTGTGTCTCACACCACACGTGTGTCTCACACACCACGTGTGTCTCACAACACACGTGTGTCTCACACCACACGCGTGTCTCTCACCACACGCTGTGTCTCACACCACACGCGTGTCTCTCACCACACGTGTGTCTCACACCACACGTGTCTCTCACCACACAGGTGTGGTTCTCTAACCGCCGCGCCAAGTGGAGGCGCGAGGAGAAGTTGCGCAATCAGAGGCGGCAGGGGGGAGCGGGGGGAGGGGGTCCCGCGGGGGCCGGGGGAGGGGTGCCCTCGAGCAGCCACATCCCCATCAGCAGCAACTTCAGCGCGGGGGTCTACCAGCCCCTGGCGCAGCCCGCGGCTCCCGGTACCCCCACCCGCTCTCCCCACTCCCCCACCTCGTCCACGACGCTCCACCTCCTTCACGACGCCCTCCACCACAGCCTCCATCATCAAGGTCGATCGTCACCTCCACCGTGACGCCCACGCCATCATCACCACACCTCATAACCAACTCCATCACGATCCCTTCACCGAGTCCGCGTGCCAGTGAGTGCGTGTCGTGCGTGTCACCCGTGTACCCGTGTGCCAGCGCGTGTAGCAGCGCGTGTAGCAGTGCGTGTGCCAGTGTGCCAGTGGGTGTACCAGTGTGCCAGTGTGTCAGTGCGTGTACCAGTGTACCAGTGCGGTTACCAGTGGGTGTACCCGTGTGCCAGCGAGTGTGCCAGTGGGTGTAGCAGTGCGTGTAGCAGTGCGTGTACCAGTGTGCCAATGCGTGTGCCAGTGTGCCAGTGGGTGTACCAGTGTGCCAGTGTGTCAGTGCGTGTACCAGTGTACCAGTGCGGTTACCAGTGGGTGTACCCGTGTGCCAGCGAGTGTGCCAGCGGGTGTGCCAGTGGGTGTAGCAGTGCGTGTAGCAGTGCGTGTACCAGTGTGCCAGTGCGTGTACCCGTGTGTCAGTGGGTGTAGCAGTGTGCCAGCGAGTGTGCCAGTGGGTGTAGCAGTGCGTGTAGCAGTGCGTGTACCAGGGCGGTTACCAGTGGGTGTAGCAGTGTGCCAGTGAGTGTGCCAGTGGATGTAGCAGTGCGTGTAGCAGTGCGTGTACCAGTGCGGTTACCAGTGGGTGTACCCGTGTGCCAGTGGGTGTAGCAGTGTGCCAGTGAGTGTGCCAGTGGATGTAGCAGTGCGTGTAGCAGTGCGTGTACCAGTGCGGTTACCAGTGGGTGTACCCGTGTGCCAGTGGGTGTAGCAGTGTGCCAGTGCGTGTAGCAGTGCGTGTACCAGGGCGGTTACCAGTGGGTGTACCCGTGTGCCAGTGGGTGTAGCAGTGTGCCAGTGAGTGTGCCAGTGGATGTAGCAGTGCGTGTAGCAGTGCGTGTACCAGTGCGGTTACCAGTGGGTGTACCCGTGTGCCAGTGGGTGTAGCAGTGTGCCAGTGAGTGTGCCAGTGGATGTAGCAGTGCGTGTAGCAGTGCGTGTACCAGTGCGGTTACCAGTGGGTGTACCCGTGTGCCAGTGGGTGTAGCAGTGTGCCGGTGCGTATATCTGCGTGATAGTGGCCCAGTTCTACGAGACGACGGGCATCGCCGCCTCCGTTCGTTTTCATGTCCCCCTCCCGCCGCCCCCGCTTCGTCGGCTCGCTCCGCGGCTGCGTGAGTCACGGCCACGCGGCTTCGCCCCACGCCTGAATCTCTCGACCCCCCCCCGTGCCCCCCCCCCCCGTGCTCCCCAAGGCGCGATGCTGGGCCGCAGCGACTCGATGCTAGGGGGCTCGTACGGGGCTCTACCCTCCATGCCCAGCTTCAGCATGGCGGGGAACCTCCCCGTGCAGGTGAGACACAGAGACACGGAGACACGGGGAGAGACGGAGACACAGAGAGATACAAGGCCAGGCAGGGAGATACGGAGACACACAGAGACACTTGGAGAAACACGGAGACACTTGGAGACACAGGGAGAGACGGAGACACAGAGAGATACAAGGCCAGGCAGGGAGATACGGAGACACACAGAGACACTTGGAGAAACACGGAGACACTTGGAGACACAGGGAGAGACGGAGACACAGAGAGATACAAGGCCAGGCAGGGAGATACGGAGACACACAGAGACACTTGGAGAAACACGGAGACACTTGGAGACACAGGGAGAGACGGAGACACAGAGAGATACAAGGCCAGGCAGGGAGATACGGAGACACACAGAGACACTTGGAGAAACACGGAGACACTTGGAGACACAGGGAGAGACGGAGACACAGAGAGATACAAGGCCAGGCAGGGAGATACGGAGACACACAGAGACACTTGGAGAAACACGGAGACACTTGGAGACACAGGGAGAGACGGAGACACAGAGAGATACAAGGCCAGGCAGGGAGATACGGAGACACACAGAGACACTTGGAGAAACACGGAGACACTTGGAGACACAGGGAGAGACGGAGACACAGAGAGATACAAGGCCAGGCAGGGAGATACGGAGACACACAGATACACTTGGAGAAACACGGAGACACTTGGAGACACAGGGAGAGACGGAGACACAGAGAGATACAAGGCCAGGCAGGGAGATACGGAGACACACAGAGACACTTGGAGAAACACGGAGACACTTGGAGACACAGGGAGAGACGGAGACACAGAGAGATACAAGGCCAGGCAGGGAGATACGGAGACACACAGAGACACTTGGAGAAACACGGAGACACTTGGAGACACAGGGAGAGACGGAGACACAGAGAGATACAAGGCCAGGCAGGGAGATACGGAGACACACAGAGACACTTGGAGAAACACGGAGACACTTGGAGACACAGGGAGAGACGGAGACACAGAGAGATACAAGGCCAGGCAGGGGGACACGGAGACACACAGATACACTTGGAGACACGGGGAGACACGGGGGGACACGGAGACGCTGGTATACTGGGAGACACGGGGATCCAAAGATAAACGGGGTAGGGGGAGGCAGAGGAAGATGGAGCGAGAGTAACAAGGAGACACGGAGCAGGGAGAGACACAGATGCACAGGGGCGGAGCCAGAGACCCACAGACCCACGACTGACAATTTGTATAAGAATGTCCACTATGATGAGCGCGTTAAGGCTATGATTGTGTGTGCGTGTGTCCGTGCGTGTGTCCGTGCGTGTGCCCGTGTGTCCGTGCGCGTGCCCGTGTCCGTGCGTGTGTCCGTGCCCGTGTCCGTGCGTGTGCCCGTGTGCCCCGTCGCCACGGCCGCGCGGCTGGTGTGTGACTGGGACCGCGCGGCGCGCCTCCGCGCCCAGCCCGGCGTGGGCACGCAGACGGCCTCCTACTCGTGCATGCTGCCCTCCAACCCCGCCGTGTCGTCCTCGCGCGCCTACGATACGTACACGCCGCCACACATGCAGGCGGGCCACATGGGCACGGGGCCCTCCTCCACGGGTGAGCGGGCACGCGGGCACGCGCGCGTACACACTGACACACTGACACACTGGCACACTGGCACACTGACACACTGACACACAGACACACACTGGCACCCAGACACACACTCGCACTGGCACACGACACCCAGCCACTGTCGCAGTGGGGTGTGTTGCGAGGGTGTGTGTGTGTGGGCGGTAGGGAATATTTGCCGGCAATGTTTTGCTGAAACTCGCCCGCCCCCTCCCCTTATCCCCCCTGACTCCCATCGCCCTCCCCCGGCACCCCCCCCCCCCTGCTCCCTCCCCCCCCTTACAGGGCTCATCTCCCCGGGGGTCTCGGTTCCCGTGCAGGTGCCTGGTACTGACCCGGATCTCCCCCAATACTGGCCGCGTCTACAGTAGCGCGCCGCCTCTCTCCTGCGATGGGCGGTGGGGGGAGGAAGGGGTGGAGGAGGGGCGGGGTGGAGGAGGGGCGGGGTGGGGTACCCCCCCCCCCCGATCACCCCTCCCACCCGCCTTGAACCCCCAAACTACTGAACCCCCCCGACCGCCTCCGGACCCAATTGTGGGGTCAGGGTTCGCAATCCCTGTCGGGGTCAAACTGACCTGACGTGACCCCACCCCCAACGCGATTAACCCCGCCCCCCGTCCCCCCCACTTACCAATCAGCCCAAGTAAAAATCAATTCCCCAATCATCTGATCTGGGTATTGTAATCATCGGATAGCAAATAGAAAAGCGGAATAAATTAATTGGGAAGAGACGAAGTATACACTGCTACTTGTACAGCAACAAAAACCGACGAGGTACAAATTATAAACATTACAACAATATGTGCGTTCGCTCGACTCGCCAGTGTGGCCACCAGCGTCACGGGGCGAGAACCCCGTGACGGTGCGTGGCTGTGGGAGCCAACCTCGGCAGGAGCCTTGCTCCGTCTCCACTCACACGGCTGAGGCCGCCGACAGCCCCAGCAGCAGCATCTGTTTGGCCAAACTGCGGACCGGTTTCGACTTTCTGGGTCTCATCAGCAGTCTGGCATTGCCAGATGCCATTGGCACGAGCAATGCCACATGCAGTGGCCTGGTGGTGCGTGGGGGGGGGGGGGTTGGAGGTCTCTCGTGGCGTAATGACGTCATCATCGTTTCCACAGCAGTTAAACGTGTGGGTTATCTGTAATTACTATAATTATTCATATTATTAATTAATATTCGTCCCGAGTGTGTGTGTCCCGTGTTACTCGCTTGGTCACGACAACTCAAACCCTGCCCTCGAGTCGAACCCATCCATCCATGACCCCCCCTCCCTCCCTCCCGTGACCCTCTTACTCCCGCTCCACGTTTCCATAAACGAAAAAATAAAATTGTGAAACAAAACGAAATCCTCTCCCCGCGTTCCCTCTCGCCCGCCCCACCCTCGTCCCGACTCCAAGTCAAGTCGCCAACACCCGGGGGTCACTCTTCTCCACAAACTCCTCAATCACTTCTGTCATCACGATAGCGAGGATATCGCGGCGGAGTGGTGATTATGGTGATGATGATGATCGGGCTGCAATTCGTAAATTCCTCCCCAAAATTCGATCCCAACTGTGCTGTCGGTGTCACGGCCATGCGACGGGAAATCCTCCAACTGGACGTCTCGCGTGGCCGAGGCATCCCAGCCCGCGTGAGCAGCCCGCGCGAGCCAAGGGACCGTGGGCCGAGTCGACCCGAGTTCGACTCCTCGTCGGGTCCCACCCACGAGGAGTCGAACTCGCGAGCCGCTCGCCGAGCCACGCGGCCGGAGATGAAAATCGCGCCATCTCAACGCGACCTCATCGTCGTCGTCTGCGATAACGAGGTCGTGTTGGAGAGGCTCCCTGTAGCTCCCTCTGTTGGAGCCCTCATCTGCCGGCAGTGGCGTGAGCGAGCAATTGCAGGGCTGCGCCTTCACGTGTTTTTTTGATCGTAGATTGCAAGGAGCCAGATCGGGTTGGCACGACCGACGAGTCATGAGGCCAATTGAAAACAAAAATCATCATCAGCCGTGAACAATGCACTGCTGGATGAAGGCCGGGGTCACGTGATGTAAACCCGGCCGGCGCCTGAGCCTGACCGCACCACGAGCTGATCTCTCACCATCGCTCCCTTACTCCAAAGGGCCCGAAACAAAACGAGTCAAAACCTTCAGGCGAATTTCAGGACAGCCTCGGGGTACGTACACAGCCTGTTGCGGGCAGCTACAAAGTCCACGCATCGGTGCAGCGCGCAGCAAACGCTCGCTCGCACGAAACAGCCACCCCCGACCCCCGCGATGAGGAGGTCGCAAGTCGGTTCTGTGGAGCCAGGGGAGAGGTCAGCTGCATCGGAGTCTCGTTGTGCAAGAGGCGCCTGGGGCCTGACCCCACTCGCCGCCCCTGCTGCTGCCGGGAGGCGATGGTTGCGGCGGAATTTGTAATCCCAATCGAGTAAACAATTTGCGGGATAATTGTCGAATTTGCCAAATCTGGAATCATGAGGCCGGTCACACAATGGCCGACTGCTGCGAAATGACGCCTGTAGCCGTCGTCACGTTCGGGCGATAACCAGGGCGTCCCGCTCCATTCCAACCGCGAACCTCTGCCACGCAACAAGAAGAAGCCTCGAGGTGTGGGCGACTCGAGAACGGATAGAAAATCAACCCCCACCCCTCCCCCTTGGCTTCGCGGGCTTCAGTGGCGTGGGAGTTGCATCGTCGCCCTGAAACGTGACCGGCCCTACGCGAACGGCGATCACCTGCAAACCGCTCGTGTTTCTGAATCTGTTACCGGTTTAGAAAGCCAGAAACCGGTTACCGGTAACAGTCGCGACGTAACGAATGCTCCGATTGGCGCGCCCGAGTGCACGTGGGTCGTTCAGTCGACCGGCTGGTCGCGCATGGTGGGGGACGAGTGTGGTGGGGGACGAGTGTGGTGGGGGACGAGTGTGGTGGGGGACGAGTGTGGTGGGGGACGAGTGTGGTGGGGGACGAGTGTGGTGGGGGACGAGTGTGGTGGGGGACGAGTGTGGTGGGGGACGAGTGTGGTGGGGGACGAGTGTGGTGGGGGACGAGTGTGGTGGGGGACGCGCGTGGTGGGGGACGAGTGGTCGACCTTCCACCTCTTCCAAGACATTTTGCCGGCGTGGCAGAGGATGCCAAACATCTCCCAAGGGGGGGGGGGGGGGGGGGGGGGGCTCCTCTGGGGATTCCTCCGTGGCTGGAGGTCCCTTCTGCCAGCAGTGGCTTGAGCGAGACATTTCAGGGCTGCGCCGCGACTTTGGATTCCGGACACGAGTCCACGAGTGGCTCGCGCTCCTCGTCTCTCCCGGGCCGCGAACCCCGCGCCCGCCTCCACCGCCGATTGGCCCCTCACGACTCCGCAGGCGACCCCCCCCCCCCCGTCCCATGCCCCACGTTGCGCAACTCCTCGCTCGGACGCGAACAAAGCGGCCGAGGGCGATTCATCGCGATCGCGCGGTCTAGAGAGCAGGCTCATTGCGCAACTTTGTCGCTCGGATGTGACCCCCCGCCGGCCCCCCTCCCTCCCCTCAACCCCCCTCCCTCCCCTCGGCTTGTGGCTGCACTGCGCAATGAAACGGGCCATGGCCATCAACGTAGGCAGGATCTGGGCTATTCCATTCCTCGTAGTAGAGGGAGGGGGGGGGGGTCGGGCTGGATTGAGTGGAGCAGCGACTGGGATTCGTGGACCCCCCCCCCCCCGCCCCGTGGAGTCCTCGATCCTGGTACCCCCCCCCCCCCACCTCTCTTGTATCTGACCCCCAGTCGCGAGTCACCGTGTAAATACCCCCCCCCCCTCTCCCCATGCTCCCCGTCACCCCCCCCCCCCCCGCGCTGTCTGTCCGACCGTTTATAATGAAACACAAATAAAGACTCCACATCGGCTTCCTCCAGCCTCGCGCCCTGTGACTTCTCTGAGTCGCCCGGTCCCACTCGGACGCGCGTGTGTGGATGGGTGTGTGTGTGGGTGTGTGTGGTGGGTGTGTGTGGGTGTGTGGTGGGTGTGTGTGGTGGGTGTGTGTGGGTGTGTGTGTGGGTGTGTGTGGGTGTGTGGTGGGTGTGTGTGGGTGTGTGTGGGTGTGTGTGGGTGTGTGTGGGTGTGTGTGGGTGTGTGTGGTGTGTGGGTGTGGTGGGTGTGTGGTGGGTGTGTGGTGTGTGTGTGTGGTGGGTGTGTGTGGTGGGTGGGTGTGGTGGGTGTGTGTGTGGGTGTGTGTGTGTGGGTGTGTGTGGGGGTGTGTGTGGTGGGTGTGTGGTGGGTGGAGAAGCGACGCTCACAACAACGAGCAGAGCGCCGGGTGGCTAAAGCACAGCAAGTTGGCACAGTAGGGGGCACAGGTGGTGCATCAGCCAGTCATCTCGGTCAGTCGACCCATGGCACCTGGGTCTGCCCCGTGACCTCCTGCCAGCGAGCGTTCTACACTTCACGTGGCCTCAAGGTGCACATGGCCTGGCACAAGCATCGTGGTGACATCACCGCCACTTAGTGGCGAATGGCAGTTGTTGTGGTGGGTGCGGTGTGTGTTATGTGGCTGTGTGTGTGGTGTGGCTGAGTGTGTGCTGTGTGGTGTTGATGTGTGGGGGTGCGTACGTGGATGAGTGTGTGTGCATATCGGGGTGTTTGTGTGGGTCCGCATGTGCGTCAGCCTCAGAGTGACCGCACAGTTCACTGGCACCCGTTCAAAACTCGCCACACACAACTCACCACACAAAGCTCACCACACACAGCTCACCACACACAGCTCACCACACAAAGCTCACCACACACAGCTCACCACACAGCTCACCAGCAGCAATGCGTACACATGCCGAGCTGTTGTCATCATCTCTTTACAAGGTAAACACTCGTCACGTGACACCTCGCCATACCTCATGACACCTCGATCGCGAGCAGCTTCCGTGGCTGCATCTCTCACTGGAACGTGCTGTCGACGCACGGAGTGTCCCCGGTTAAATCCCCACCGCACGCCCAAGCAGTTTCTGTTTGCCCGGATCGAGGGGGCTAAACGGGCACTTGGCACGGGCCGGAGAAGAGATGGAGTGATGCGGTACAGGAGGATGTGGAGCCGAGTGGACTTGCCGATGACTGGTACCAGCGGTGTCAAGATCGGCCTCTGTGGAGGAGGCTCGTGAAGGACGCTGCTACTGGGCAGTTGGAGGCAGTCGCCCTCCAACAACAGCGGAGGGCAGATGATCGATGCTCACAACAACGGAGTGCCGGGCGGCTAAAACGCAGCAAGTTGCTACAGTACAGAGCACAGGTGGTGCATCTGTCATCTCAGTCAGTCAACCCATAACAATTGGGTCTGTCCCATGAACTCCCGTCAGCAGCAAGCCGTGCACAACCTCACGTGGTGTATCCTTATATCTGTAAATGTTCTCCAGATAACAACAGCTCTGAAATCCCCCACAATACAATGCAGGATCCAGGATCCCAGAACCTGAGATTCAGGATCTGGGATCTGAGAATCCCCATCTGGGATCAAGACTCCATGATCATCCAAGAATCCATGATCATCCAAGAATCCCTTGTTGCAGAATCCATTTCCTGAGAATCCAGAATCCAGAAAGTCAGAAATCCAGGCTGGATGTTGTGGTGGCCCCCCCCCCACAGGCCGAGGCGTTGGGGCCAGAGCGGTTCGCGGTGTCCGAGAGATCCGGGGGCAGATGCAGCTTCTATGGGGGGTGGGAAGGAGGGGGGGGGGGGTCCAGAGGGGGTGGGGGCAGACAGACAGACAGGTTGAGAGACAGACAGACAGGCAGACAGGTTGAGAGACAGACAAACGTGCAGACAGAGAGATGGGACAGGCAGACAGAGAGATGTACAAAGCGGCAGACAGGCAGGAACACAGGCAGACAGGCAGGAACACAGGCAGGCAAGCGGACAGAGAGGCAAGCAGATTATAGAGATGGAGGGAAGCAGCAGACACAGTGAGACAGGCAGACACAGACAGATACAGACAGGTAACCAAGCAGGTAAAGACAGGCAGGCACACAGGCAGGATTGTTAGACACATACACAACAGGCAAAGATCCCCCATGTAGCCTACACAGGCTGGCGGGGCAAGTGCTGTTAGCCAGCAGTACCTATGACTAGCACGATTGGCTACGTACGGTGCAAAAGAAGTTCAACACGCATGCATGAAGGACGGCACGGTACCACGCCCGGCCGCATTTGTCTCCCCAGTGCTCACGTTTACACACCGCACCAGGTACTCGTTTAAGTCCGAGTCGACCTAGGGGAGGCCCGTAACCGTTTCAAATATTCACCACCGTTATTGGCGGCAAGCGCACACTGAACTCCGGCCGTCGGGCTTGGAGCGCAGTGCGCTAACCACTGCGTCACCGCTCCTCACACAGACACATGCAAAACGCTGACACGTCGAGACACACGTACAGACACACAGGTAGACACACAGGTAGACACACACGTAGACACACACGTACAGACACACACGTAGACACACACGTAGACACACACGTAGAGACACACACGTAGACACACACACGCGCGAGCCTGTGCGTCCATGTGTGTGCGCGCGTGTGTGTGCGCGCGTGTGTGTGCGTGTGTATCACCGCTGCGAAATACCCCACCAGCACCAGCATCACTAATAATAATATTAACGCGTGGCGGCGTCAGGGAATAGCGCTCTAATGGGAACTGCTGGGAGACAAAGTGGATTAGTGACAAACAAACACGGAGAGGACAGAGGGGAGGGGTGGGTGGGGTGGGAGGGGGGTCGAGTACACACAAAGACAAAGACACTCCAGGGAGCCGTAGCAGACTGTTGGGGCAAGTGCTGGTAGCGAGTGGCACCCATGAAGGCCGGCACAGCACACAGGAGGGTGGGTGGGTGGCCAGCACCACGCCTAGCCGCCTTTGTCTCCTCAGCGGCAATGTTTAAGCATCGCACCAGGTATTCATTTTTGGCTGAGTCGACCTAGGAGAAATCCAGAACCGATTCAGAGAATCGTTGCTGGTGTTGGCCGTGCAGGAGAATCGAACTCGGGTGGCCGGGTTCGTAGTACAAGCGCTAACCGTTACGCTACCGCTCTCCACACACACACACACTCATACAACCACACACACACACACACACTCGTACAACCACACACACACTCATACAACCACACACACACACACACACTCGTACAACCACACACACACGCACACTCGTACAACCACACACACACACTCATACAACCACACACACTCGCACAACCATGCACACACACACTCAATCGCACAACCACACACACACACACACTCACTCGCACAACCACACACACACACTCGCACAACCACACACACACACACACTCACTCGCACAACCACACACTCACTCGCACAACCACACACTCACGCACACAGCAGCCAACACAGCGGCCAACACAGCCGCCGATCAATTACTGCGATGAGTGCACGGCTCAGCGACGCGGGGCTCGGAGCCGAGTCATTAGGGGCGCCCCCCCCCTCCCACCGGCCTCCCCTCACCCCCCTTCATCTACCCCCAACAAAACAATGAAAGTAACAACGATGACGGAGGTGATGGCGGTGGCGGTGCAGGAGCGGCGGGACGACGGAGTGCTTTGTCAAAGCCCGAACCGGATCACGAGAATCGGCGGAATGTTCCCAATCGGCGTGCCCGACCTCCAGCCGGCCAATGGGAAGGAGCCGTGGCGGACAGCGCCGGGGGGAGCGGGGACGGGGCGGGCGGCCCCCTCGTGGGGGCTCAGGGTCGACGGGGGCGGAGTTCACGACGCGCGGACTCCCGGCGGTCGCCCGGTCGGAGCGAACGCCGGGCCGGCTCCGGGGACCACGGCGTTGAAACGCGGTGGCTAGGAGATGTCAACTCCCTCGCCTGGTATACAGGAGGTCGTGGCTTCGATCTCGACCCTGACGACACCTGCTGTAAATTTGGAGTTTGTGCGTTTCTCTCGCTCTCCCCGTGGTCACGTGATTTTTCTCCGAGTCCTACGGATTTTCCCTCCACATTTAGAATCAACACCACGCGTTAAGAACATTTGGCCGATATAAATTTCGTTCATAGCGGCCAAATGTTCGTTCGTGATAGCCAGAGGTCGCTTCTGAAAAAGAACCACGTAGTTCAGTGGGCCTTACCTGGGCAAATAAAAAGTTATTTATAGACAGGAAGAGGATGACAGGCGACGGTGGGAGGACGAAGACAACGCCGAGGAAGAACGCGGAAACGAGAGCCGAGAAGCGAGCAGGGAAGCGTGGAGATGCGCACGCCGGGAATTAGATGTGGCGACGGAGCGGGGGCCACGCGCGGCGGGGAACGCGAACGGGAGCCGCGACCCTGGGAACGCGCGGGGGCCGCACGCGTCGCGGACAAGGCCCGGGGGGGGACGAGGACAACGGCAGAATGGCAGCCAAAGGACGGAGCGACGGGATCGGTTCACGCGCAGGAGCGGGAAAGTCGAGGTGGTCGTGACGACGACGGCGGCGGGCGATGGTCGTGGGCGATGGCGGAGGATGTTGCCGAATGGTGACGGTGGGTATTGGACATGGAGGTCGTGGTGTCAATGGTCACCGGACGGGGGTGGTGGCGTGTGGGAGCGAGAGAGAGAGAGGCGACGTTGCTCTGGGTGGTGGTGATGGTTTGGGGGGGGGGGTGACAGGACGGGGGGCGGGGGGGGGGGACGTTTGCGCTGGGGAGCAATTTGCTGTGACAGCCGCCGCATGCCGAATCAGGGCCGCGGCGTGGGATAGTGACAGGCGGAGGCCCCTGGCAACGCACGCACAGCCACCAACACACACACACACACAGGCACCGACACACACGCACACAGCCACCGACACACACACACACAGCCACCTACACACACACACACACAGCCACCGACACACACACACACACAGCCACCGACACACACACACACAGCCACCTACACACACACACAGCCACCTACACACACACACACAGCCACCGACACACACACACACAGCCACCGACACACACACACAGCCACCGACACACACACACACAGCCACCGACACACAGACACACACACACGGCCACCGACACACACAAAAATCCCCCATCCTTAACAGACTGTTGGGGCAAGTGCTGTTAGCGCACACCTATAAAGGCCGGCACGGCACACGAGGGGGTGGGTGGCCGCACCAGGTACTCATTTGAAGCCGAGTCGACCTAGGGGAGGCCCAGGACTTGGGTGGCTGGGTTCGTAGTGCGGTGCACTAACCACCAGCATGACCGCACACGTACGCACACGCACGCACGCACACGCACGCAGCGGCCATCGGCTCGCCGTGTGAGCTGCTGCGTTCCCGTACCGCTGGCGAGCGTGCCGGTGGTGCCGGTGGTGCCATCTGGGTGCCGTCTGGGTGCTGTCTGGGTGCCGGTGGTGGTGCCGGTGGTGCACGCCGATGCCGGTCCCCGACATCCGCGAGTCAGCGGGGCGGCTGTGGGCTTGCCCCCCTCCCCCCGTTTCGTCACCTCCGTGACCCCCTTCCCACCCCCAGCAACCCCTACGCAGTACGGCGGTGTGCGGCCCGTTGAAGAGAGGACAACACAGCGTGGTACACACCACACATCGCCACGGCACACACCACCACATCACACACCGCACACCGCCATGTTATACACCACCACATCACACACCGAAACGTGACACACCACCACCACGTCACACGCTGACACGCCCCTACCGAACATCTGCGAAAAAGAGCGTCACAGCTCATAGGATTCCTCCTGCAGTCTGAAAACTGATTCCGACACCACCACCACCACAATCACCACCACCAGAAACCACCACCGCACACCAACCACCACAAACACAACCACCACCACCACAACCACCACCACCAGAAACCACCACTGCACATCAACCACCACAACCACCACAATCACCACAACCACCACAATCACCACAACCACCACAACCACCACAACCACCACAACCACCGCGCCACCACCGTCGCGCCACCATGCCACAAATTCCCAATTCTCCACGCCGACCGGTAATCCGTAGCAGGCGACGCGGCCCCCCAACCACAGTCTCTGGCCAATTACGGCGTGGCGGTAGGGGCGGCGGCGGCAGCGCCACGCGTGGGGGGCTGGGAGTGGGGGGCTGGGCGTGGGGGGCTGGGTGTGGGGGGCTGGGCGTGGGGGGCTGGGCGTGGGGGGCTGGGCGTGGGGGGCTGGGAGTGGGGGGCTGGTTTAGGGTTTTAAAAATAATGAGTAGGTGGGTGGGGGGGGGGTTGCAAATCCGGGTTAAACATGGGGATCAAGCGTGTCGCCCACTCCCCCGACCCCTCCCCCCTACTGATCCCCCCCCCCCACCCCCAGAGGGTAATCCCCCAGAGTCTCCGCTCTGCCCGCTGCCCAAACGGACTCGCCCGTTGCACGGGGTGAGCTCACGGGGATGAGTCGGGGTCCTGGTTGGGGTTAGGGGGTAGAGGGGTGGCCCGTGGGGTGATGAGGTCGCAGGATGGGCGGCGGTGTGATCACGACGGGGGGAGGGAGAGTTGTGGAGGGGAGCGTTGCTGTTGAGACGGATGAGAGAGATGGTGATGTTGGTGATGTTGGTGATGGTGAAATGAGAGCAAAGGGAGACAGGGGGACATGGACACAGGGCGACAGGGGAACGGCGTGTCTCCACGAGACAGGCGTGGGAACACTGACAATGGTGGCAGTGCGTGAGCGGCGCGAGTGAGCGATGGCCTCGGCACTCCAAGGGGAACAAAGACGGCGTGCTGGGGGCGAGGGGTGGTGGTCGTGGGTGTGGTGATAGCGGTGATGGTGCTAGTGTTGGTGGTGTTGGTGGTGGTCGTGGGTGTGGTAATAGCGGTGATGGTGGTGTTGGGGGTTATGGTGGTGGTCGTGGGTTGGTGATATGGGTGATGGTGCAGGTGTTGGTGGTGTTGTTAGTGGTGGTGCTGGTGGTAATGTTGGTGGTGTTGGTGGTGATGGTGTTGGTGGTACTGGTGGTGTTAATGGTGATGCTGATGGTCATGTTGGTGGTGATGGTGTTGGTGGTGGAGCTGGTTGTACTGTGGGTGGTGTTAGCGGTGATGGTGGTGGAGGTGGTGGAGGGGGCGGGTGCGTGGTGGGCGGGGAGAGGAGGTGTGGGTCACGCCGTGCCCCATTAACCCCGCTTGTCTTCCCGCTAATTAATTAACACTTTAGTGAGCACACAGCTCATCACAGGGGGAGGGGGTCAATTACACCTCCCCCTTTGGGACTTTACAGAGCACAAACATTTACACTCCTCCTGCCTCCCTGTCTCCCCTGTCTCCCCATCTGCCTGTCCTTCTGTCTCTCCCTGTCTCTGTCTCTCATTTCCTCTTACCCTATCTCCGTCTCTCTGTCTGTGTCTCCCTGTCTGTGTCTCCCTGTCTGTGTCTCCCTGTCTGTGTCTCCCTGTCTGTGTCTCCCTGTCCGTGTCTCCCTGTCCGTGTCTCCCTGTCTGTGTCTCCCTGTCTGTGTCTCCCTGTCTGTGTCTCCCTGTCTGTCTCTCTGTCTGTGTCTCCCTGTCCGTGTCTCCCTGTCTGTGTCTCCCTGTCTGTGTCTCTCTGTGTCTCCCTGTCTGTGTCTCCCTGTGTGTGTCTCTGTCTGTCTCCACGATCTCCCCGACATTTCTCATCCCTCCTCCTCGTCACCCCCCCCCCCTGCACCGTAAGGGGGGGGGGCGGTGAGGAGGCTTGGAGGGGGATACCCCCACACAGGTCATCCTATGGACATACCGGCCCTGTGCATGGGAATGTGGAATTTCCGCAATTGCTTCAAATGAGCTTCACCCCTCCGATCGCCTGAGCAGGGCAGCTTTAACCTTTGACCTTTGAGAGAGCATCGGTGGCAGTCGACGCGAACGCCGGAGTGGAGCGGTGAAATCGGATCGTGTGTGCGAGTGCTTGCCGGAACACGTGGGGAGCGGTGGCGCAGCGGTGAGCGCGCACTGAGACAAACACGGCGGCCCGGTTTCGATTCCGATTCCGGCTCACGACCAACATCAGTGGTGAATATCTGAACCAGTTGTGGGCCTCCGCTAGGTGGACTCAGCCTTAAATGGGTACCTGGTGCATGCCGTGTGTAAAGATCAGCACTGGGGAGACAAAGGCGGCTGGGACTGGTGCTGGCCACAACACCCCCTTGTGCCCCGTGCTGTGTCGGCCTTAATAGGTGCTCGCTAACAGTTACTGTCCCATCAGTATGTTGAAGGCTCCATGGGGGATCCTCGTCTTTGTATGCGTGTGCGCTAACACTAATTCCTGCGTCCCTTTAGGGGGGTCTTAAGACCCCTAAATAAACTCATCAACGTCCGTGTCCCCTAATCCCAGCAGACCCTGACTAACCCCAGTCTCACCCCCAAACCCTACCCCCTAACCAAGCCCCAACCCCCAGTCTCACCGCACACACTCACAGAGGCGTTACCATCCCCCCCCCACCACCACCACCCTCCCTCTCGAGGGATACAAAGGAACGTCCAGGAACACAAAAGGGGGAGCAAAGGGGGGTCGAGGAGGAGGAAGGGGGGGGGTAGGCCAGGGGTCTGTGACCAAACACCACCCACAATGCACCCCACCATCTCGCCTGGATCTGGGAAGCTAAGCAGGCGCTGAGCCTGTGCGACAGCTCTTGGATGGGAGTCCACCTGGGGAAAGCTGTGATGGAGGCTTGGGGCTGCGGAGTGGCCAAGAAGTGACAGTACAGCAAGCGGGTGCATGCATAGCGGAGCAATGGGGGACTGCCCCTCCTCCTATGCAGCAGCGTGTTGCTGGGTTATCTCCATGTTCTTCGGGTCCCTGGCCACACGAAGCCACCAGACCCCGTTGCTGCTCATGGCTCAAACATCCCAGCGTAGCAGCACCCTCCTGGCAACGAGTCTTGAGACTCGTTGTCAGGAGGATGAGGTAAGAACGAGGGAGGGGAGAGGCGGGGAGAGGGAGGGAGAGGGAGGGAGAGGGGAGAGGGAGGGGAGAGGGAGGGGAGAGGGAGGGGAGAGGGAGGGGAGAGGGAGGGGAGAGGCAGGGGAGAGAAATGGGAGAGAGAGGGGAGAGGCAGGGAGAGGGAGGGGAGAGGGAGGGGAGAGGGAGGGGAGAGGGAGTGGAGAGGCAGGGAGAGGAGAGAGGGAGGGAGAGGAAGGGAGAGGGGAGAGGGAAGGGAGGAGGGGAGAGGGAGGGGAGATGATGACGCTTTGTTGGTGCGTGTGGGAGGAGGGTGATTCGTCACTCTCATTAGGACACATTTCTCTACGCAGCACTCACCCCCCCCGCTCACCCCTCCCTCACCACCCCCACCACCCACCCTCTGCTGTTGCGGCCCAGCCAGACCTTTGTATCTGTGGCTGTGTCTCTGCTTAATTAAGGACTCAAATTAAAAGCAACGCTTCAATGAGTCTCAAGACCCATTTTCAAGAGGGTTTTGCAATGTGATGTTTGACCATTTAGATTAATTCACGTGATACATATTACAGTGATATGGTATGTATATATATGATGAGCAAGTTAAAGGTGCAGCCCTGCAAGAGCCCGCTCACGCCACTGCTGGTGGACGGGCCCTCCAAGCGAGGGACTAGCCGTGGCGAGGCCTGTCACACCGCGGGGTGCACAAGGCAGCGGCTACCGCACGGTGCCGTCAACCCGGCCACTCGGGTTCGATTCCCGTCCACGGTTAACGTCGCCGGCGAATATCTAAAGCGGACGTGGGGTGACAAAAGGCAGTCGGGCAGGCGTGTCGCTGGCCACTCACCTCCCTGTGTGCCGTACCGGCCTTCATAGGTCCTACTCGCTAACAGCACTTGCCCCAACAGTCGGTCAAGGCTACACGAGGAGATTTGTCTTTGTGCGCGAGTGTGTGCGCGTCACCTCGACGAGGAACCGGCGCCGCCGCACTCGGAAGGCGAGGTCGTGGGAGTCTACGAGTGCCGTCGTGAGCGAGTTCAAGCGCGGAGCTCGCACCACGTGCAGCAGGCCTGCACTCCCCAAACGCACGGGCGCTCACGTCACGCACTCCCCAAACGCACGGGCACCCACGTCACGCACTCCCCAAACAGACGGGTGCCCACGTCACGCACTCCCCAAACGCACGGGCACCCACGTCACGCACTCCCCAAACGCACGGGCACCCACGTCACGCACTCCCCAAACGCACGGGCGTCCACGTCACGCACTCCCCAAACGCACGGGCGTCCACGTCACGCACTCCCCAAACGCACGGGCGTCCACGTCACGCACTCCCCAAACGCATGGGCGTCCACGTCACGCACTCCCCAAACGCACGGGCGTCCATGTCACGCACTCCCCAAACGCACGGGCACCCACGTCACGCACTCCCCAAACGCACGGGCGTCCACGTCACGCACTCCCCAAACGCACGGGCGTCCACGTCATGCACTCCCCAAACGCACGGGCGTCCACGTCACGCACTCCCCAAACGCACGGGCGTCCATGTCACGCACTCCGCAAACGCACGGGCACCCACGTCACGCACTCCCCAAACGCACGGGCGTCCATGTCACGCACTCCCCAAACGCACGGGCGTCCATGTCACGCACTCCGCAAACGCACGGGCACCCACGTCACGCACTCCCCAAACGCACGGGCGTCCACGTCACGCACTCCCCAAACGCACGGGCGTCCACGTCACGCACTCCCCAAACGCACGGGCGTCCATGTCACGCACTCCCCAAACGCACGGGCGTCCACGTCACGCACTCCCCAAACGCACGGGCACCCACGTCACGCACTCCCCAAACGCACGGGCACCCACGTCACGCACTCCCCAAACGCACGGGCACCCCCCCACCCCGCGTGTTCTCTCACCGTGGTGCTCGCGGTAGAGGGGGTGGACGTCACCGCGGGGGGAGCCGGCGAACGACTCGAGCCGGAGCACCGAGTCGCTCGCTCGCTCCACGCGGCGCAGCCAGGCGTCGTCCTGCACCGCACACGCACAGACACACAAAGACAATGATCCCCCATGTAGCCTTAACAGACCGTTGGGGAAAGTGCTGTTCGTGAGCAACTATGAAGGCCGGCACAGCACACGAGGGGTGGGCTGCCAGCACCACGCTAGGCCGCCTTTATCTCCCCAGTGGCGATGTTTACACACCGCACCCGGTACTCATTTGAGGGCCGAGTCGACCTAGGGAAGGCCCAGAACCGGTTCAAATACTCATCACCGGTGTTGGCTGTAAGCGGGAATCGAACTCGGGCCGCCGGGTTCATAGCGCAGCACGCTAACCGCTACACTACCGCTCCCCACACACACTCACACGCACACACACACAGACGTACATTCGGATATACACATGGACACACACACACGTAAGGACATTGAGAGAACATCGGAGGTGGTGATGAGGTCCAGTGGGAGGGAGGAACATCCATCGCAGAGCGGTCGAATCGGATCGTGTGCACGTGGGGAGCGGTGGTGCAGCGGTTAGCGCCCACCGAGAGGATGGGAGGGCGTGCAGCTGATGGGAGGACGGGTCGATGGGAGGATGTTCTCACGCAACCCGGCTACGTACGCAGCGCGTGCGGTGCGTAGCGACAAGACAGGAGAGCGGAACGTGTGGGCTGCAGCGCGGGGCAGCGGCCGTCGCGGGGTTAATCATGCGGACGCGGAACACGCAGACGCGGGCGCGTGTTAAGTACACACACTTAGCGACACACACACGAACACTCGTACACATTCACTCACGCGCACGCGCGGCGGAAACACAAACAGGGCGAGGGGACGGTGGCGTCTCCTCCGCGTCTCCACGTGTTTGTTCCTCTCACCGCGCGCCATCGAGCGTGACGCCGCTCTCTCTCCCCCGTCTCTCCCCCGTCCCTCCCCCGTCTCTCCCCGTCTCTCCCCGTCTCTCCCCACCCACCCCGACTCCTCTCCCCGCTCTCACCTGTGTAATTGTACAGTGTCGTTACCATGGCCCTCGCCCCCCCCATCCCCTCCCCCCTTCTCCCCCTCTCCCCCCCCCCACTCACCTGGCCCAGGTGAGCTGGCACGGTGGCGACCGCCACACACAGCGACGAGCGGAGGAGCGAGCGGAGCGCCAGGAGGAGGCGGGGGAGCGCCGCGTTGCTGCGGGGGGGGCCCCGCGAGGGGAGGGGGCCGCTTGTCGAGTCGTCCCCCCACGCCGCCCCCCCCAGGGACGGCAGTGACGCACGCAGCACGCGGCGCAGGGGGGGGGCGGCCGGGGGGTTGGGGGCTGGGGTGAGGGGCTAATGGGGGCGTGCAGGCAAAAACACACACACGCACGCGCGCGCACACGTATCATCGTGAACACGATGGTGAAGTATGGTCAAACAATCCCCACCACCAACATAGGGTAGTGGCGGCGGTGATGGTTTTGGTGGTTGTGGTGGTGCTGGTGTTGGTGATGACGGTGGCAGTGGCGGTTGTGGAGGTGGTGGTGGAGATGGTGGTGGAGATGGTGGGGGTGGCGGTGGAGATGGTGGAGGTGGCGGTGGAGATGGTGGTGGTGGCGATAGTGATGATGGTGGTGGCGATAGTGTTGATGATGGTGGTGGTGTTGTCAGCGGTGGGGGCAGAACGTTGAAACATGGGGAGTCCTGTGACATCCAGCTGTGGATAGACCACGGGTGAGAGTGGCGACGCGGACCATCAAGGGTGCACACCTGCGGGGGTGAGAGGTCGTACGCGGGGTCCTGGGTGACGTGCGCCAGCGAGCGGAGCAGAGCGGAGTACCCGGGCACCGCATCCACCCTGCCGCCACACGCAACCACACGCGTGTCAACACGCAAGCACACGCGTGTCGACGCACGTGTCGACACGCAACTATCCATACACACTGCAGTGATGCACTTTGGAATCCCCTCTCTTGCCATCATCGCCTCCCCTCCCCAGGCTTCGACTACAACAACAGCAATCTCGCGCAAGTCAAGTGACGTCCGACACCGTCCGTCGACGTGGTGAGCGTCGGGCGAGTGTCTCACCCGTGGGGGGTAGTGGTGTGGGTGAGCGGCGGGTGAGCGGGCAGGTGGAAGGTGTGCACGCGTGCCCCAGCTCGGAGCTCCGCCCCCATGGTGCGTGAAAGGTCAAAGCTCTGGCCCAGAGCGGCGCCCGCAGCCGGCGCAGTCTGCGTCAACGGAAGGGCGCAGCACAAAGTTGCAGATCCGCCCCGACCGCTCAACCGCCCCCGCCCAGCGCGGCACACGCGCCACGCCGTCAATTCACATCCAAGCCCACACACATCACTCCTCTTCAGAAGCGATGCGCACGTTTGTTTCACACGTCCCATCGGCCACACGGCCTGCTGGGAGTGCGCAACGTCAAGCAGCCGGGGTCCAACACGAGCCAACCACGGACCGGTGCCAGAGGGAAATCCCCTCCAACTTCCCATGAACCTCAAAAGTGCACCTCGCCTGCCACTGCCCAGAAGCATCCTTCGTGAGCCTCCTCGACAGAGGCCGATCTTGACCACGGGCCTGCCCACCATCGTGAAGGTTCGGGATGATCGTCAACAGAGGGCCAGGGGCCCCTAAGAGCAGGAAGAACCACCCAGAGCTGCGGCCTCATGAGGGTACCATCCACGGCCTTGACCAGGTCAATAAAGCAATAACGTAGGTCCTGTTGAACATGTCCTACACCTCTGCTGTAGCAGATGGACACACTCACTCACCCACTCACTCACCCACTCACTCACCCACTGATTCACTCACTCACTCACCCACCCACTCACTCACCCACTCTCCTGCTCTCCCACTCGCACAGAGTTGGTGAGGCACCAATGCGCTCACCTCCACTTTGGGCATGTTCTGGTATCTCCACGCGATCTCCATGCCCTCCGCGTCGCTCGCTCTCCCGCAGGGACCCCCGCGACCCGCAGGGGGCTCATCCAGCACGGGGGCCGGTAGCTCCTGCCGCCCAGGGGGTGTGGGGGGAGGGGGGGAGGTCACTCCTGTGACCCAGCAGCCAGGGCCTCGTTTCTCTCCGGATATTCTCCGGGCGCCCGGCGGACCCTCACAGGTGGCAGGTGACTATCAATCACCCGCAGCCCACGGTGAAAGGAATACTGGATGTGGTGTGCCAGGTGTCGCCATATATTCCGGATTAAAAAACACCACGTGGCTAAGAGGAATCAACTCTTGAGTGACTCTTCTCATAAGCGGATGAAACGAGACGAGATATTTCACCGCTGAGTCAAGGCCCACCGACGCGGTGAACAACGGCACGAGTACAGAGGGACAGGTGAATGGTGCGTGCGTGTGTGTGTGCGTGTGTGTGTGCGTGTGTGTGTGTGTGCATGCGTGCGAAGGGTTAATCGGTGTGCGTTGCCACCCGCAGTGACGCGGGGACCACACACGCGGCACCACCTCCAAGCACCACGGAAGAAAAGTGCGCAGAGGTGCGTGGCAAGACGAACGCTTGCCATTGGATACCAAGAGAGAGACACACAGAGAAGAGGACACACGGATGCACGCTACAAGCGGTGATCCCAGACTGTTCGAGACAGTGAGTGGGGCCTGGACAGGAAGCATCACGGCGTGGATGGTGGCCTGCAGATGAAGACGAATGACGGAACGTCAGCTGGAGGAGGGGAAACATTCCAGGGGACGTCCCCACCTCCACCCCCATTGAGATGGAGCGATGAATGAAATCAACTGGCGTGCGGGAACTAAACGATTCGTTGCATCGCGGGAAGCCGTGAGTGACGGCGACGACTTGGTGGGGCAGGGGGTGGAGGAGGCCGTCATCCAGCAGTGGATGGACCACGGCTCCGTGCAGCGAGGGTGACGGTGGAACCCGACCCGAGCGCCGTAACCTCGTTACCACGGAACCTCGTTACCGCGGAACCTCGTTACCGCGGGACAACGGCGCTCGCGGGTTGGCTCGGGTTACCGTGACCGGGCCGCCACCGCCGTTGCTGCCGCCACCATTGTCACTGCCGGGCTAATTGGCCATTAAGTCGTGGTCAGAGAGCCTGAGGTCTCATCTGAGCAAACACGGGGTGGGAGACTGTCGGGCGGCACGGGGCGTGGATGCATGCATAGCCACCACCACCACCAATGCCACCAACTGCACCACCACCAACTTCACAAACTCCACCAACTCCAATTCCACTGCCACAATTAGATTTTCGCTCCTGCAAATGAAATTCGGACACGGCAATCCAGAAACAACAAAGGGGACGGTGAAAGGGAGGGAGGGAGAGAAAGAAAGTGTGAAGGTGAGAGGGAGCATGTGCGTGAGAGAGAGGAGAGAGTGCAGAGAGAGAGGGGGAGAGAGTGCAGAGAGAGAGGGGGAGAGAGTGCAGAGAGAGAGGGGGAGAGAGTGCAGAGAGAGAGGGGGAGAGAGTGCAGAGAGAGAGGGGGAGAGAGTGCAGAGAGAGAGGGGGAGAGAGTGCAGAGAGAGAGGGGGAGAGAGTGCAGAGAGAGAGGGGGAGAGAGTGCAGAGAGAGAGGGGGAGAGAGTGCAGAGAGAGAGGGGGAGAGAGTGCAGAGAGAGAGGGGGAGAGAGTGCAGAGAGAGAGGGGGAGAGAGTGCAGAGAGAGAGGGGGAGAGAGTGCAGAGAGAGAGGGGGAGAGAGTGCAGAGAGAGAGGGGGAGAGAGTGCAGAGAGAGAGGGGGAGAGAGTGCAGAGAGAGAGGGGGAGAGAGTGCAGAGAGAGAGGGGGAGAGAGTGCAGAGAGAGAGGGGGAGAGAGTGCAGAGAGAGAGGGGGAGAGAGTGCAGAGAGAGAGGGGGAGAGAGTGCAAAGAGAGAGGGGGAGAGAGTGCAAAGAGAGAGGGGGAGAGAGTGCAGAGAGAGAGGGGGAGAGAGTGCAGAGAGAGAGGGGGAGAGAGTGCAGAGAGAGAGGGGGAGAGAGTGCAGAGAGAGAGGGGGAGAGAGTGCAAAGAGAGAGGGGGAGAGAGTGCAGAGAGAGAGGGGGAGAGAGTGCAGAGAGAGAGGGGGAGAGAGTGCAGAGAGAGAGGGGGAGAGAGTGCAGAGAGAGAGGGGGAGAGAGTGCAGAGAGAGAGGGGGAGAGAGTGCAGAGAGAGAGGGGGAGAGGGAGCAAGCGAGAACAAGTGAGACGGAGATGAGAGCGACCCTGACTCTAACTCACGACGGGATCGTCTGCGGATCGCCACACGTATACCCAAACACTGCCCGTCGGTTCGCTTACAACCCGCGAGTCAAGCGCAGCGCGATGAGCAACGTGCCGGGAAACCGGGTGGGGGGGTGGGTGGGGGAGCGCCCGTTCCCAGCCTGAGGAACCGGGGTGCGGAGACGGAGGGCGGCGATGAGCGAGAGGGTGAGGTCCTGGGGGTTAGTGTCGGGGCGAAGGCTGTGGGACAGAGTTCAGGATGAGGCTGCAAGAGGTTTGCGGCAGTAGGGTGGAGGACAGAGTGTGCTCAAGGTTCAAGTGGGTTTTGTTGAACCGGGTGAGACCTCAAGGGACCGGGACGGGAGTCTCATTTGCCAGAGTGACCCTGAGGCTTGTTGGGGGATAGCGTTGGGGTTAGGGCGGGGGGGTTCGTGGTCGGGAGCTGGATGAGGGATGGGGTTGGTGATATTGTTGGCGGTGCTGGTGTTTGGTGAAACAGCGCCACCCATCGCACGCTGCCACCCCTCCACAACGCACCACCTGCACCTGCACCCTCCCCCCGCACGCTCTCTCCCGCACGCTCTCTCCCGCACGCTCTCTCCCGTTCTCTCCCGCACGCTCTCACCAGTTCTCTCTCGCACGCTCTCTCCCACACGCACTCACCCGCTCTCACCCGCTCTCACCCGCACGCTCTCACCCGCACCGGCATACTCTCACATACTCTCACTCTCATGCCCTCTCTCTCACCCTCTCACCTGCTCTCATCCCCTCTCTCACCCGCTCCCTCACCTGGATGATGTCATCGGGGTGAGTGTCGGCGGAGGCCACGTAGAGGTCATGACCCGATGCGATCCCCTGGGCGAGGAAGCAGCGGAGGATGTGGCGAGCGAAACTCCCAAAAGCATCCTCCTCTAAAGCGGCACCACCACGCACGGGCATCATCAGAAGCATCAGCCATCGTCATCAGCATCATCAGCATCGCAAGCTTCATCGGCATCCTCATCAGTTATCATCAGTTGAGTCATTGCCAAAATCGTCATCAGTTTTATTATCATCTGAGTCATTACTATCATCATCACTATCATCAGTGTCATCATCATCATCACCAACAATATTATCAATCATTGCGCTCTTCATCAGTACAGCGCGGGGTGCCAAAACACGGGGATATTTCAGATTTTTACTCAGTAAATTGAAACAATGCAAAATATACAACATACACACTCACCACTCACTCACCCACCACCTACTCACTCAGCCAGTCAACCACTCACCCACTCACTCGATCACCACTCATTCACCCATCCACTCACACAAACACCCTCTCACTCAGCCATTCCCCTCACTCAATTACCACTCATTAACCCATGCACCCACCAACTCACTCAGACACCCACTCACCCATTCACCCACCCACTCACAAATCCATCCACTCACTGACCCACTCACTAAGGAATAAATTATAGACCAAATAAACTGTTCAAAATCAATAGAGAATATACACCACACACACAACAAAGCAGCATAAACCAAACTGTGAAGCTAAACTGCGCTTGAGGCTACTCTCTGTCCACTTGATCCGAGTGATTCATCCGCGATCTAAAAACCACGCGTCCACCCCCCACCTCCGCCGCTACGACACGCCGGCCACGCGCCACGACCGGGAGGCGAACCTTCACCCACGTACCGATGAGTAGCAGCGACCCCAGCGCCAGCCCGCCACCTGCAACGGACACAAACATCAACACACGAGGGCTGCCACTCCTGCTGACAATCGTAACGATTCCGCGCGTATCCGACAGCTTGGACTCAACTCTGGAATTCCCTCCCATCGCCTGCTTCCCCCAAACCCCTTACAACAGACAACAGTGCTCAATGCAACAAACGCTCATCTGTCACAACCTTGGCAGTGCTGTTTGTTGCTGGCCCCTGGACACGTTGGGTCTGTGACTGTGCTCTGCGACGAGTTAAGTTAAACACAAACCGCACGCAGGCCGTCGGGGCAAGTGTTGTAAGCGAGCGCCAACGAAGGCCGGAGCGACGCACGTGGGGGTTGCTGTGGCCAGCGTGTTAGGCGCCATGTCCAACGTTTCACGACACGTTCTGGGAGCTTCTTCAGGAACCGAACAGAAGTGGCTCATCACTCCCTCGATCGATTCTGCAGCAATCGCAGGCAGCTACTGGTGCTCGATGTAGGCCGGGTGACGTTGTGTTAATAAACAGCCGATGGTAATACACGAGACATCGTCTTGCCCTCCATCAAGCATCAGTAGCAGCAGCAGCAGGGCCATTCGACAGAATCGAGGGAGAAAGTGAGCCGATGAGTTCGGTTTATGAAGCTTTTGGCACGTGGGGCGAAACGCCGGACTTCGTGCTGAACAACGCGCCGCGGAGAATGATTCTCGTTGTGGCGGTGGCTCGTGTGTGGGATGGGGGGGGGAGCGGTGGTGTAGTGGTTAGCGCGCTGCGCTACGAACCCGACCACCCGAGTTCGATTCCAGTTCACGGCCAACACCGGTGACGATTATCTGAAACGGTCCTAGGCCTCCTCTAGGTCGACTCAGCCTCAAATGAGTACCGGGTGCGGTGTTTAACCATTGCCACTGGGGAGACAAAGGCGACCGGGCGTGGTGCTGGCCACCCACCCCCTCGTGCGCCATGTCCTCCTATATAGGCGCTACTTGTTAACGGCACTTGCCCCTAACAGTGTGTTAAGGCTACACGGGGGATCTTTGTCTTTTGGCAAGGGGGTTGAGGGGGTTGGATCGTTACATGGCTAATTTGTCGCGTGTCCGCACGGCGGCCGCACGACGCGCCACTGCCCGCCGTGATTGAGCTGTCCGAGTGCGTCTCCCGTCCAGCGTAAGGAGCTCTGTGGAATTGTAGCTTCAGATTTCACCGCTTCGGTGAACTTACACAGAGCAACGACAGGTTAATTACGACTGACGGGGGAGGGAGGGAGGCCGCCGGTGTCTTTGTTATTGTCACCGAGGAATTGAAAAAGACCTCTCGACTTGACCGGTTTGGCCGAACGTCGACATCGTCGCCTGTGTGTGATAATAAAACCATCTTCATTTTTCTGCACGCGATTACAAACCGTGCTTGCAGTACAATTACACAGAGTGGTGGTGGTTGGTGGTGTTCACGATGCGGATGGTGGTGATGAACAAGAATGAACGATGATGTTCAGGGCTCCAAATTTCATTTCTCACTTCATATTTTCCAGAATACTGCCAGGCTGGCCGTCTTGGAGAAGTGATTATTGACATAAGGCACTACCACTCGACCACAATGTACGCCTATCATATCCGTAATAATTTAGCATACCACATACAGTACTATGTGAACATGGTTGTAACCAAAATAACAATGCAAATATAATTTTTACAACATGTCTCAGAGCAGCGTTCTGAGATTCAGCTCTGCTGGTAACGGATGAATGAAAAAGGATGAATCGCTGATGATAATGCAATAATAATGTAATGATGTGATGTGATGATAGTTTGTGTCACTAGTAGTAATCGTACTGGCATTGGGGGTGTGCCCGTAGTGGTGGGTGTGGTGTTAGTGGAGGCCGCGTGTTTGGGATTGACTTGAGAGAAGACTTGTACAGCCAGAGAGAACACGCGATTCAATGATGTACCGGGATACTGCGCCATTCAACGGGTGACCGATTACAGACATCGGCATCAATGAAACGAGACACGCGGGAGACAAGAAACTCCGGACGGGACACGGGGGACAGCACTCCAGCCACGGAACAGGCTGCAGACACCGGGCACGAGACACGGGACAGGGTGACACAGACACGATGACTCAGACACGGGGACTCAATCCACGAGACACTGGACAGGGTGACACAGACACGGGGACTCCACAGAGACACGGGGACTCGATCCACGAGATAGAGGAACACGGGAGATGAGACGCGGGGACTGACCCAGCGCGGAGTCGAGCGAGGGGATGCCTGTTGACACGAGCAGCTGGGAGCGGGACCCGCAGGGCCGCGTCCCGCGCAGAGCCCCCCCGAGCCCCCCACGCCCCACGGGCCCCCCCGACTCCACGCGCCCCCCGGGCCCCCCACGCCCCCCGGGCCCCCCCGACTCCACGCGCGCTCCACGCCGAAAACTCGTGGCGCTGGGCGCGGCCATGTTGGTTGGGCGGGGGAGGAGAGGCGAGGGGGGGGGTTAATCTCGCAGAGTCTCGCGAGATCTGGTAGAGTCTCGCGAGATCTCGCCAGTCGGAGTCAGAGTTGTTACTCTGTGAAACATTGTTTTTTATATTTCTGACAAAACGTAGAGAGATGTCGCAAATGACAACACGGCACTCCTTCAACAGAAACAATGTTTATTAGCGCCATTACCACTCGTTACTCACAGAGTGCTTGCCACTCGTGAAACACAGGAGCCGCCTGGTGACCTGGTGATGAAGGTGCAGCAGCAGCAGCAGCACCGTCACCTTGCAGCTGGTGAAGGTGCAACAGCAGCAGCAGCAGCGTGAACTTGCAGCTGGTGATGAAGGTGCAGCAGCGCGAACTTGCAGCTGGTGATGAAGGTGCAGCAGCAGCACCGTGAACTTGCAGCTGGTGATGAAGGTGCAGCAGCAGCACCGTCACCTTGCAGCTGGTGAAGGTGCAGCAGCAGCACCGTCACCTTGCAGCTGGTGATGAAGGTGCAGCAGCAGCAGCGTGAACTTGCAGCTGGTGATGAAAGTGCAGCAGCAGCAGCGTGAACTTGCAGCTGGTGATGAATGTGCAGCAGCAGCAGCGTGGACTTGCAGCTGGTGATGAAAGTGCAGCAGCAGCACCGTGAACTTGCAGCTGGTGATGAAGGTGCAGCAGCAGCACCGTGAACTTGCAGCTGGTGATGAAAGTGCAGTAGCAGCAGCAGCGTGGACTTGCAGCTGGTGATGAAAGTGCAGTAGCAGCAGCAGCGTGGACTTGCAGCTGGTGATGAAAGTGCAGTAGCAGCAGCAGCGTGGACTTGCATCTGGTGATGAAAGTGCAGTAGCAGCAGCAGCGTGGACTTGCAGCTGGTGATGAAAGTGCAGTAGCAGCAGCAGCGTGGACTTGCAGCTGGTGATGAAAGTGCAGTAGCAGCAGCAGCGTGGACTTGCATCTGGTGATGAAAGTGCAGTAGCAGCAGCAGCGTGGACTTGCAGCTGGTGATGAAAGTGCAGTAGCAGCAGCAGCGTGGACTTGCAGCTGGTGATGAAAGTGCAGTAGCAGCAGCAGCGTGGACTTGCAGCTGGTGATGAAAGTGCAGCAGCACCGCAGCGTGAACTTGCTCGCTGGTGAAGGTGCAGCAGCAGCACCGTCACCTTGCAGCTGGTGATGAAGGTGCAGCAGCAGCAGCAGCGTGGACTTGCAGCTGGTGATGAAAGTGCAGCAGCACCGCAGCGGCGGCGGCTTCTGGCTCAGCCATCGAACAAAAGCCGGCGGTGCGCTTCTGCGGCCGTCTGGAACGCTCTTCCTTCCGATATGCAGAAGACACCGCAGCTAAAGCGCGTTTCAAGCGTCTCTATTAAATGCTCATTTCTCTAGAACTGCTTCTTGTTGTGTTTAGTTTGGTGTCCTTCCCCCGCACCTCCGATTATAACGGTCGGCTACGTACGGTACGAAAGAAGTTCAATATACATACATAGGAAGCCCTCGTATATTGTTTATACGAAAGAATGCTGTCGTGAACGCGAACCCACAACCATTACACGCGTGCGAGGGGGGAACACTATATCCCCGTCAGTGACGTGCGGTGAAGTCAATGGCTGGGGAGGCACTGGCTGAGACACGCCCCCTCAGTGAGGCAGACGTGATAGCTGCCTCCCCTGGTGCTTTTCATTGCAGTTTTATGACGAGGCCAGCGAGCCTAAATATCTTTATACACGTTACCTGGACTATGGAAGGCGAGGACACGTAATGAAGGGGTCTACGGACATTACATTGGCGACACACACACAGAGAGATAGTCACAGGCACGCGCTTGTTGCCCGCGCACCACCCAGTGCCCGAGGGGGGAGGCTGAGCTCGTCTCTGCCTCATCGCCTCTCGTCTCTCCCTGCAGCGGAACTCCGCAAATTTGGCGATTTTGACGAAAAAAATATTGGAATCATGCAGAAAGTACATTTATAACACAGATCAGTGGATAAATCTTAATTTTTATTTCATGATTATAATATTTTGTGACTTTTCGTGACGGCTATTTTCATTTGAGTATGAAAGGTGAGAGGCTCTGCCTCCCCTGCCTCCCCTGACCGCACGCGACTGGCCCCCCCGTACACAGAGTCCGCACTTCGCTGTGCCGCCGTCTCCTGGCGAGCCAGGGCACGGCTCCCCCTCGACGCCCACGGGTAGAAGGGAGTTTCACGACGTCTGTCAACGGTGCTCCACCAACCCTCGCTGCTGCTGCTGCTGCTGCTGCCTCCACACGCAGCGCTGGGTCATTACGGCAGCCACGTGCAGCGTAGCCACCACCACTGCCATCCGGCTAAGTTAAAATTGCAATCAAGATGGCATGATGTCCGACGTTTCGCCACACGGGCCGGTATCAGCTGCATTTGCTACCTAGAATGTAGTGCGTTACCGACTGCTGCTGCTGCTGGTGGTGGTGTTTTGATGAAGCTTGCACGAACCGGGAGCCACATGAAGCAGAGACGAGGCTCGCCCGGACACATCAGCCAAGTTCACCGGCAGCATCGGTTCACGCGAGCCTGACAGTGGGTACATGCACCCACGGGGCTGCTAAAGCGAAGCGCATCGTTTGAGTCTGCAAGGTTGGTGGGATGGGTGGCAAGGTCATGGCTCGGGGCAGGGCAAGGGCTCTGGGCAAGGGCACAGGGCAGGGCTATGTGGCCAGGGCTATGTGGCAGGGCTATGGGGCAGGGCTATGTGGCAGGGCTATGTGGCAGGGCTATGTGGCAGGGCTATGTGACAGGGCTATGGGGCAGGGCTATGTGGCAGGGCTATGGGGCAGGGCTATGTGGCAGGGCTATGGGGCGGTGGGACAGTGGTTATGGCATTGCACAACCAAATCCGGCAAACTTGATGGCCGCTCACTGCACATACCATTGGCGTGTGTGTGTGTGGAATGTGGTGGTAGTGGTGGTGGTTATAAGCGAGATTCCGGGAGTAACGGAAGGACGCAGGGAGAATGAGATGCAGCCAAATAGGGAAGAAGAGGACGGAGAGAGAGAAAGAGGAAGAGAGAGAGAGATGCAGGGAGACATTGCGGGAGAGATGGAGGGATGCAGGTAGTGAGAGATGGAAACAGAAAGATAGGAAGATAGTGGGGGATACAAGGGGAGGGGGGGGGTTACAGGGAAGAGGGAGGGATGGGGAGTGGGGGCGGGGTGCATGGAGAGAGAGTGGTGAGGAGAGGGGGAGGGAGTGGTGCAGGGAGCGAGGGGGTTGCAGGGAGAGGAGGGAGGGTGGGAGACGCACAGAGACGCGCCGCTTATATCAAACATCTGGCTGAGCGGGAGCGCGCGCGCGCTTCGCTGCGTCTCCCATCCGCTCGGGCATCTGGCACGGCCCCCCACACCCCCCCCCCAAACTTCCATCTCCCATCTCTAGAGCAGCAGCAGCTGCTGATGCGGTGGAGCTGGGGGGGGGGGGGTACAGAGCGCGGCGGTAGGGGGGGGGGGGGGCGATCCGCGCTTTAATCTCCCCACACTGTGATGGGCGGAGATGCGTGCCGGCTTAGAGGGAGTCGTGGCTGCGCAGTGGCACAGGAGGGGTGGGAGTTGTGGTTGTGTAGTGGGGAGGAGCGGTGGGAGTTGTGGTTCAAGCGAGGTCTACATGTGTGTCTGTGTGTATGTCTGTCTGTGTCTGCATGTTTAGGGGGAGCGGTCGCGTAGCTGCAAACGCTACGCTGCGCTACGAACCCGCGACCCGAGTTCGATTCCCGCTCACGGCCGCCAACATCAGTGAGAATTATCTGAACCGTGCCTAGGCATCACCTAGGTCGACTCAGCCTAAAATTAGTACCTGGTGCGATGTGTATACATCGCCATTGGGGTGACAAAGGCAGCCGGGCGTGGTGCTGGCCACCCACCCCCTCGTGTGTCGTGCTCGCTAACAGCACTTGCTCCAATAGTCTGTTAAGGCTATAGGGGGGTCTTTGTTTTTGTCTGAATGTATGTATCCCTGCGAGCCTCTGTCTGGACTGTTCTCTGCTATGAAGAAGGGACATTGCTCGAAACGTCGCCTATTAAATATTGTTCGAATATGCTGGCAATGTTATCGATGAATGTGTTCATTCGTTGTTTGTGCTTTCGCACGAGCGCCGAAATCGTTTGACAATACCCGTGTTCATGTGGTGTCTCTTGTGTGTGTATGATGTGTTCTCTGTCTTGTGTATATGTCCGTCAATGCGTATGTAACGGTGTGTATGTATCTCTGTGAGTCCGTCCGTCTGTGTGTGTTGTTGTTGTTGTTTATTTCTGCTTGTTTACTCAGGAAAGCCTCGCTGAGTCTCAAGACTCTTCTTCAGGAGGATCCTGTCGAGTTGTCGCTGCTCTTTAACGCCAATTGAATAATCTGCAGGTAATCTCTCGGCACTGAGATGCTTTGGGCCAATTCCAATGACACTGCACGCGTGTGTGTGTGGCTTTAGCTGCGGGATGAGGGATCAGGAGAACCCGCAGGAAACCCGTGCAGAACAGGGGGAGCACATCGACCCCCCCAACACACGGAGGAGAGGCGCAAGGTGTTGCCACTGCGCCACCCCGCGTGGCGATGGGGACCTGGGGGGCCTCGCTGCCCGTGCCTGTGGAGGGGCCGGGCCGGCGGGCGGGAGCACGGGGCGGGGGGGTGAATGGGGGGAGGGGAGAGGTGGGGGGGGGACTTTGGGACCTTGAGACTCCGAGTCATCACGGATCGCGCGTTCAGCCGCCGCTAACGCGGGGGGATTAACACGGCTGCCGCTGCCGCTGCAGCTGCCCCAACACTTGCATATGTGGTCGGATCATGTCGAGTTGTGGGGGGTTGGGGGGGTTGGGGGGTTGGGGGAGGGGGCGGGGGGTGTTAGGGTGTTGGGGGGGCGATGGCAGGGGAGAGTCATTCATGCGGGCTGATAATTTGATCTTATTTTTTGTATTTAATGTTTTGGATATAAATCGACTCCTGGCGGGGTTCCAATTGATGCGATTCGGTCTC